CCTGGGGAGACCCGAGACAAGGAAACGAGAGTGCATGCCACGAAGGCGCTGCATCGAAGGGTGACCAAGGCGGTGGTGCCAGAGGACCGTCCGGTGCGACAGGGTGCGACACGAGCAGGGGGCGGACAACTGACCTGACGCAGACGCAGACGCCGCTACCTGAGGGGACTCAGTGGTCAGTGTGTAGAAGTCCGACCCCGGCTGCCTAGTGAAGGTAGCCAGGTGACGACCCGTCTGGGCACACGTGCAGTGTGTCACACGCTCGTAGGCAGGGGTGAACTGGTGAACACCCGCGTCCTGGAGCGCAGAACCCGCCACCAAGTTCGTAGAGAACGAGGGGAGGTAAAGGCCCGACAGTGTGCCGGACGGGACAGCAGGACAAGGCAGGGCAGTGGTGGAGGTCGCAAGGACCGGACCCCCTGAGGGGTCAGCCAGGGAGACAGCAACCGGCCTAGGGAGCTGCTCGAGGGCAGTGCGGTCGCGAAAGAAACAGCGAGAAGCACCTGAGTCCAGTGTGAAGGTGTGCAGTGCCTCAGTAGACTCAGTACCTGAAGGCGCAGACTCACAAGCACCTGAAGCAGCAGACACACCTGCACCTAGAGCAGCAGCCTTACCAGGACCAGGGGCAGCAGACGCACTAGCACCTAGAGCGGCAGCCTCACCGGCACCTGGAGCAGCAGACTGGATACCGGGGTCAGGCGGCACACACAGGTGACAGGCTCCCTCGACACTAGTAGACAATGCATACATTGCAGTGAGAATAGCATCATATTCAAGAGCAAAGATATCTACCCTCTGCCTAAGTAGCTCCACCCAGTCGGGGAGCTCAGCGTCGTCGCCAAACTCTGTACGCCAAGCGTCGCTCAGACGGGCGAAGCAGCGGGACTCTGTGTGACCACGCGTCCCGCAAGGCTGACCAGTCCGGACACCCGTGCTAATAATGTACGGGCAGCGAGCAGTACTCAGCGACCCTCGACTCTGAGCGTACCACTCATGAAGCTGCTGGGGCGAAAGAGTCTCGCGCGAACGACGCTGCTGCTGCACCGGGCCACTACAAGAAGCTCCCGAACTACCCACTCCAGGACGACTCCCACTACGGCCACCCTGACAACCCCAACTGGCGTACCACTCGCGAAGCTGCCGGGGCGTGAGGGACACACGCGGACGGCCCTGGAGCTGCATCTGGCCACGCCAGGAGCCGCAACGGCAGCTGGTGCAGGGCAGGGACAGGGCCACGACGGCCGCTGCTACAGGGTGGGGCGGGGCCGTGACAGCAGCTGCTGCAGGGCGGGGCAGTCCGCGACGGCAGCTGCTGCAGGGCGGGGCAAACCGCAACGGCAGCTGCGGCAGGGCAGGGCAGTCCGCGACGGCAGCTGCTGTAGGGTGGGGCAGGGCTGGGAAGGCAGCTGCTGCAGGGCGAGGCAGGGGCGGCCGTCCAAAGGGCGGGCGCGGGATAGGGCAGGGCGACGCGGCGGGCAGGGGCGACGCCGCGCGGGCCCCGCAGGGGCGTCGCGACGAGCGGGGGCGACGCCCGGGTCCCGCTGGGGCGGCGCGACGCGCAGGAGCCGCGCCTCGCGGGTCCCGCAGGGGCGTCGCGAAGAGGCAGGGGCGACGCGCGGGTCCCGCAGAGGCATCGCGACGAGGCGGGGGGGGGACGTGCGGGTCCCGCAGAGGCGTCGCGAAGAGGCAGGGGGCGACGCGCGGGTCCCGTAAGGGCGTCGCGAAGAGGTGGGGGCGACGCGCGGGTCCCGCAGAGGCGTCGCGAAGAGGCAGGGGGCGACGCGCACGGGTTCCGGCGGGCTGCAGGCGCCGGCGTGCAGCAGCCGCGGCGCGCGGGTTACGGCCTGCACGCGAGCGGCCTACGGGCGGCGTACGGGCTGCCTACGGGCTGCCTACGGGCTGCCTACGGGCTGCCTACGGGCTGCCTACGGGCGGCAGCGGCCTACGGGCGGCGTACGGGCGGCCTACGGGCAGCGTAAGGGCGGCCTACGGTCGACGGCAGGCGACGGGCAGCCTACGGGCGACGGGCAGCCTACGGGCGGCGGCCTACGTGCAGGCAGGTCGCGGGCGGCTCGAGGGGCCGCGCGAGGCCGGTACGAACTGCGTGGGCGGCTAGCGGGCTGCGTGCGCACGGGCAGAGGACGGCGCGCGGGCAGAATGAAGGGCGGGGCGCGCGAGGGCGCACTAGCAGAAAGAAGGCGCACGAGGGCGCACGAGCAGAGAAAGGCGCACGAGGGCGCACGAAAGGTAGGGCGCACGAGGGCGCGTCTAGCGGAATAGTGGGCCCGTAGTAGTAAGCGGTCCTAGGTGGCTAACCTAGGCTCGTGATACAAGGTAAGAATGAACAAGAGTGATTGAACTAAGAAAGAGTTGGGTGCAAGTAGGAAACCCTAAACTTACTGTACCCCATAGTAACTACCCCACTACAGCCTAAACAAACTGTAGCAAATATACCATTTGACAGCCAGATCTCCTCGTGCAAGCGCCCTTGGAGAAAGGTAGTGTAGAAGTCCAGAGAGTGCAGCTCGTAGTCTTGCTGAGCTGCAACGTGAAGCAACACCCAAAGACTGGTCATTTTTGGGGTCGAGGCAAAGGTCTGGAAGAATTCAACTCCCTCGTGCTGTCTGAAGCCTCTCGCCACATAGCATGCCTTGAAGACAAGCAGTGATCCAGGCAGCCGCTTCACATCAAAGATTCACATGCTATCGACTACGTTCGCCCTGGGAGTGGGAATTACGTCGACATAACTACCTGTGGATCTCCAAGACGCCAACTCTGAGTCCATGGCAGCTATCCACTCAGAGGCTCACTGGCGTGACACTGCCTCACGGTACGTGCAAGGAGTCGTTATGTCAAGTGCGTCTGGGTCTCCCTCAGGGGCTGGCAGCATGGAACAGAGATGGGGATAAGCGGTTGCCAAGAACTCCAACTCAAAGTGCTTGTTCTCTAGGTTATCACAACAAGGGTAGACTCACCCCCAGCGGACGGAGGACATGTAGGAGGAGCAGCCATCACGCAGGTGGCATAGTCAAGGTGGAGGGTGGCGGCAAAGTCAACGATAGTGGTAATAACAGTCGAGACAGATAACCGAGAGGCACGAGGGTCTTCAACAAGAGAGGCGAGAAGACGTGAGAGAACAAGACGAGATGTGTGGTAGTAGTCAATGATAGGGTGAGAGGAGGAGGCTGTAAGAGTCGACTCAGGAGGTGACGGGAGAATAGACTGAGGTGGAGAACGACGAGGACTCGAACATAACAAGACAGCACAAAGGTCGTCAACAGGAGACGTGAGATCATCACGGGAGGGACGACAAGTGGTTCAGAAGTGTGGTACAACAGGAGGAGGTGACTGAGAACGAGGAGGAGAGAACACAGCCGGGGACGAGTCCAAAGGAGGAAGACCATGAGCAGTAGGAGGCGGTGAGTGGCTCGGGAGGAGGAAAGGAGACCAAGGGCCCGAAGGCCTCTCACAGGTGGGAATGGCTGCTGCAAGAGTGACGGTTGTGGCTGCTGCTGCTGTTGCTGCTTCTCCTGGTGTTGCATCTCTCACCGCTGCTGCTCCAGCTCCAGCCTCTCGTGCCTTAACCTCTCCTCTCCAGCCGATGAAAAGCGTGGTGACACGTACGGTAGCGGTGGGGAGGCGGAGTAGCAATGCCTCCAGCTCCAGCCTCCTCTGAACTAGCACCTCCAGTGCCAGTACCAACAACTCCAGCACCCCCAAAAGTAGAACCTCTAGTGCCAGAACCTCCAGCTCCAGCACCCTCATAACAAGCACCTCCAGTGCTAGCACCTCCAGCTCCAGCACCCTCATAATCAGCACCTCCATGATCCATGCCCGTGCACCCCATTTTCCATGGCCCTACGCGGTTCGCTATGCTGCCCACCAGCTGAACCTCTGGCCTCATGTCTCATGCCCAGAGGCTTCACCGACCAGTCTTTGGACCGGGTCACCTGGTGTTGTGTCGGAGTTTCGTGTCTGGGGCTGCCTTGCACTTGTCCGCGATACCTCTGCGGACAAGCTCTCGGTACGCACACTCCCTTGTGTTTTCCTTGGTTTCCCGGTGGACGCTTCTGACTACCCGCCCCTCCACCGGTTCCTCGACTCGCGTGACGTTCGCTTGGACGAGTCAGTGCCCTACTACGCTCGCTTCCCTCACCGAGGTCTCCCGGTCCCACCCCCCCCCCCCCCCCCCCCCCCCCCCCCCCCCCCTTCCTCTTTCTAGCTCTCACTCCTGCTCCTGCTCCTGCTCGGGCTAGTAGCATGTAGAGGCTGGAGCTAGGAGCAGCAGAGGCTGGAGCTAGGAGTGGCCGGAGCGAGTAGCAAACGGAGCTAGGGGAGAGGAGCAAACCGTCAGTCAGTTCGGAGTTCTAGCCCTAGATCACGCAAGTAGAAGTGACTGCCCTGCCGCACGTTTCTGGCTAGGGGCGCGCGTTCTGGCTGAGGCGCGCGTTTCTGGCTGGGGGCACACGCTCTGGCTGGGGCGCGCGATACTCTAGCTGAGGCGTGCGCTTCTCTGGCTGGGGCATGTCCTACTCTGGCGTGCTAGGAAACCGGAGGCAGGACAGACGGAGCTAGGACGGGCGACGGGCAGAGCTAATGGGCTCTTAAACCAACCTAGAAATGTAAACACGTTTGGGTGTGTGACTAGCAGGAGATGGGTACAAATACAAAATCTAGAAAGTGTTGTTTCCATTCAATGCAACTCGCAGTAGCCTAACAAACACATATAACATTTGACACGTAACACTGCTTGCACCCTTCATGGGCCATGCGCACTTGAGGAGCTCTACAATAGCTTTCTATAAATATGCGTCGGATTTGTTGGGCTGTAATGAGTTGCATACTACAGGGTATAGGCTTTCTCTCGACACTCCTACTTGTACCCCATTTCCTCCCTTGTCTATCACTTCCGCTAATTACTTGCAGGGCTGTAACACGGGCAAGCAGCGACTGCAACGAGGCATATTGGAGGCAGGGGCTGAGAGAGCGAGCAAGACGCTTTACGGCGGGTGCAGGACGAGGTGGCCGAAATGAGCGGCGCCGGGCGAGGAGCCGCGGAAGAGGTGCGGGCGATGCCCCGTGGCGCTCTGAAAGCGGCGGCACACATCGTCCACCGCTGCCTGCGCCGCTGCCGTGCTGTCCCCCAGTACACACACCGTGCCCCCACTGCCTCCCCCCGTTATCTTGGCACCCCACAAAGGACCCTGAGGCCGCGTGCACCGCGGGGGGGCAGGCACGGGGAGGGACGGGTGTTGGGAAGGCGTTGGAAAATTGTTGGGAGGGAAGGCATGGGGAGGAATGCGTTGGAATACATGTGCATGTTGGCACGACAATTTTCTGAATATCACTTTCCTACATGAGCACGACTCACATGCGGCCCCATGAGCACGACTCACATGCGGCCCCATGTGGGTGCGGGCGAGCGCAAGAATGAGGTCGGTGGAGGGCGACCCCAGCCCGCACGCCGTGTAGCTCCCATGGCTCTGCTCCCCCCCGCACGGCGCCACAGGGGGCAGCGGGGACGCGGAGGGAGCAAGGGGTAAAAGACGGCAAGGTGTGAAAAGTGACATGAGCAGGGAGTTGATGGTGCGGGGGCAGAGGGATGAGGAGGCAGTGGGATGAGGAGGCAGTGGGATGAGGAGGCAGTGGGATGAGGAGGCAGTGGGATGAGGAGGCAGTGGGATGAGGAGGCAGTGGGATGAGGAGGCAGTGGGATGAGGAGGCAGTTGGATAAGGAAGCAGTGGGATGAGGAGGCAGTTGGATGAGGAAGCAGTGGGATGAAGGGGGCGAGATGGGAGAGTTGAGAGGAGAGCGATGATTGTAGAGGACGTGGCATGTGGCGAGGGACCACAGAGGGGCAACAGAAGGGTGCAGCGACGCAGCTATGAGGGCGTACCTGCATCATGAGCTGTAAGGGGCGTACCTGCATCATGAGCTGTAAGGGGCGTACCTGCATCATGAGCTGTAAGGGGCGTACCTGCATCATGAGCTGTAAGGGGCGTAACTGCATCATGAGCTGTAAGGGGCGTACCTGCATCATGAGCTGTAAGGGGCGTACTTGCATCATGAGCTGTAAGGGGCGTACCTGCATCATGAGCTGTAAGGGGCGTACCTGCATCATGAGCTGTAAGGGGCGTACTTGCATCATGAGCTGTAAGGGGCGTACCTGCATCATGAGCTGTAAGGGGCGTACCTGCATCATGAGCTGTAAGGGGCGCACCTGCATCATGAGCTGTAAGGGGCGTACCTGCATCATGAGCTGTAAGGGGCGTACCTGCATCATCAGCTCCCCCAGCAACGCCATCTGCTCACGCCTCCCTCCGCCTGACCCAGCGCCCCCATCCCCATCCACCCCCTCATCTCCTTCCCCCTCGTCAACTTCCCCCTCACCCTCTTTTCGCCTTTCCTCGTCCCCCACGCGTGTGAGCAGCAGGGAGCGGAAGCAGCGCGTGCGGAAGTGCTCCATGACAGGGTGGCACGTGGCGGGCAGCACGGGGTAGGGCAGGGCGGGATTCACGGTGGTGGCGGGGTCGCCGTGGGAGGCGTGGCGCGCGAGGAAGGCGCTGCCGTGCATGGTGGCGGGCAGTATGGGCTCCAGTAGGGGCACGCTGGCATGGCCGGGCAGAGGTGGGAGCAGGAATGTGGGTTGAGATTGCAGGGAAGAATGGGGAGGGGTGGTGGGAGTTGGGAATGGAAGAGTGTGGGAAGAGGACGTGGGGAGGGTGACAGTGGGGGTCAGGGAGGGCGGAAGAAGTGGTGAGGTGAGTGCGGGCATGAGGCAGGTTGTGTGATGGCCTGATGGATGAGATGCTGTGTGCAGAGCACCTGATTAGTCACATGGTTAACCACTTGCCCGGCCACCTGAGCAATCACCTGTGCGGGTCCAGTTCACAGAGACATGACAGAGGGTGCGGTGCTGTTGGTGTGGCGGCATGCAGTGCTGCAGTGGCGCTCTCCTGCTGCCATGTGCGCATGCCGTGCCACGCACATATGCACGCTTGCGCCCACACACATGCACACACACACACAAGCTCAAGCACGCGCACGCGCACAAACACACAGCCACACGCACGCACACAACCACGCATGCACGCTCACAAGCGCGCACGCACACACGCGCACGAACGGACACACATGGAGAAGGGAGCAGGGGGTCAATGGCAGCTCGCACGTGGGGTGCTTGGGTGATAAGGAAGAAAGAGCAGAGCCATGTCCCATTGGGACGACCTGAATTAAACTCCTGCCGCACACGCCATGCATGCATGCATCCCCTGAGCCCCGCCTGTCAACCGCCCCGCCTGCCTTGCCACGCCCTGCCGTGGGTGCACGGGGGCGCGCTGGCCACGCGGGAGCACACAGGCGACGCGGGCAAGGTGGAAGGGCAGCCGATCATAAGCCTAGCACAGCACAGCACAGCACCGCACAGCACCGCACAGCACAGAACAGCACACTCACATGATCCTCGCTGCTGTGCCCTCTAGCGGCGTTGATGAGCGTGAGTCCCATGAACGCCGCTGCCCTCACCCCGCCATACCCCGCGCCGCCCACGCTGTGCCGTGCACCCGAGTCGATGCCCCACAGCGTCACGTGGGGGGACAGCGCCAGGCAGCCCTGCACGCTGGCGGGGCGGCACAGCAGCGCGAGCAGCGAGGCGGGGCGGGCGAGTGTGACGGCCATCTGGTCCATGATGCCGCAGGGCGCCCCCACCACGCGGTTCTCCACCTGGCGGTGGGGGGGGGAGGGGAGGGGGGGTTGGATGGGCGAGTGGGGAGTGCGTGGTGAGTAGTGGTTGTGGATAGGGGAAACATGTGTGTGGAAATGGCCAGTGCAGAGAGAAGAAAAAGGGGCGAGCGCAGTATGGCAGCAGAGGCATGGCATGGAATGGCACTGCATGGAATGGCGTGGCATGGGTATGGGGCGTACGATCTGGCACATGCGGGCGAGGTGCCAGGGGGGCACGTGCATGCCCAGAGCGTGCACGAGAGCCATCATGCTCGCCACCTCCACCGCTGCTGACGACGCCACTCCCACCCCCTCCGGCACTGACGATGCCACCACCACCGCCACCCCCTCCACCCTCCCCTCCGCCCCGCCCCCGCCCTCGCCCTCGCCCCCCTGTCCTTCCCCCTGCCCCTGTCCCCCACCGCCCATCCATGCCCGGAGGAACTCCACCTCTCTCTCCCTCGCTAGCACCACCAGCGCCCCCGCCACATATGCCGCCCACCGTGTCCCCCCTGCTCCTCCCCCTGCCCCTCCCCCCTGCTCTGCTGCACCACTCTCCTCGGCCCCCTCCCTGCTACCCCCGCCCCCCCCTCCACCTTCCTCCCCCGGCTCTCTCGCCTGTGCTGCCCCTTCCTCCCCCTCATCGCCCACCGCTGGCCCCCCTGCCAGCAGCGCATGGGCGGAGGCATAGTCGAGGGCGCAGGGGGCGGAGTGGGGGGGCGAGGCGTAGAGGCCGGGGAGCAGGCGGGCGAGGGGCAGCGAGACAGAGGGCACACGGTGGTTGGCGGCTGCGGAGAGGGAGACGATGCGCAGTGAGGGGGGAGGCCCAGGGGACGCGGGAGGGGCGGAGGGGGCGGAAGGGGGTGCGCGGATGACCTGAATGGCCACGTGGCACGCCTCTGCTGTTGGCATCTGGTGGGGGGTTGGAAGGGAAGGAAGGGGAGGGGAGGGGATTGAGAGATACATGATAGAGGAGAGGTAAGCCAGGAAGTACCACCAGAAATTGAGGCACCTTAGACCCACCTGAGGTGCACCTGAGGCACACCTGAGGCCCACCAGGGGCGCACCTGAAGCACACCTGAGGCCCACCAGGGCGCACCTGAAGCACACCTGAGGCCCGCCTGAGGCGCACCTGAGGCGCAACTGAGGCGCACCTGAGGCGCACCTGAGGCGCACCTGAAGCACGAGCGAGCCGGAGTAGTCAGCAATGCCGCCCATCACATCCAGGCGCCCCGGCGCTCTGGTTACCACCAGCGGCTTCGACCAATCAAAGAGCTCCGCCGCCAGCGCCAGCTCGTGGCGGTCGCTGTCGTTGCACGTGCCGCCGTCGGGCGGTGGGACTGCGCGGCATGGGGGCGCGGAGGAAGGGGATTGGGGGAGGGAAGGGGAGAAGATGAGGGGGAATGGGGGAGGGGCGGGGAGAGCCCAAGGGAAGGGAAGGGACGGCTGATGGGGCAGGCGCAGCGAGGGGAACGGGGGCGGCGGCGGGAAGGGGAGCGCGAGGATAGGGGAAGGGAGTGTGGAGAGCGGCGTCCGGATGCCAATGGGTCTTTTCCTCCCGCAATGCCGCAGCGCGCCACGCACCGCCGGCTCGGAGCGACTCGAGCAGCGCGAGGAAGCGCTTTGTGTCGGGCAGGCCGCGGTCGTCGCCCTCCACGCGCATGGCGCCGCGCGGCATCCCCGCGATGCGAGAGGAGAGCACAGGAATCTCGCTGTCGTACGCGCCTAACCCGCACTTGGTGCAAGGTGGCGGTTAGCGGCTAGCGGGTGCGGGTTGGCGGATAATGGCGCGGGGCTGGCAAATGGGTGAGGGTGGTCGCGATGCTACACGCCCCTCGCGCGCACTCGTGTAGCACTCGGTATCGTATCGCTTCACATTCCGTCACAGGCAGCGAAAGCTGACGCCATGCACATACTGCACAAGAGCGTCCTCATGTGGGTGTATTGTCCGAAACATGTTGACTTCTATTTTGTGCAACCCTGCACCTACACCCAATGTATAAGGGAAGTTCATTGCTTGTTCTAGTAGTGAATGGAAAGCTTACTAGCTTAGATCTTTTGCAATAAAGGCTGGCAATACACGCAAGCACGAGTGACACTCAACAGCGTGACCTGGCCAAATGGCTTGTCAGAGGGTCATAGTGCGGAGCAGAGGTGTAGGGTGGGAGATTGATAGCGCCCATGCCTCATCTCCAACGCTCCTCATGTGACTCACAGCCCAAGTCCCGTCTGCGTGACCCGTCTTATGGCCGACTAGAGGCACACAGAGCATGCTGGTGAAGTGGCTCAGCGGCAGCACGGCAAGCTGTACAGGAGGTGGTGATGGTCACGCGCGCATGCGACCAGGTGGGTGAGCAGTGGGTGTGAGATGGCAGCAGGGAGTGGCGCACGGGGCATGCACGGGCAGGTGGGGTCGCCATGCAGCAGCACTGCAAGCTGTACAGGGAGGGAGGTGGTTGCACAGCGTGCATGCGCCCTGGGTGGTGGGCGTGAGTGAGCATTGAGTGGTCGTACACACACGCATGGGAGGGTTGCTGTAAGCGGGGAGCACATGAGGGGTGCGCCACCCTGCTATCTGCTGTGCATTGCATGTGTCGCTGCCGGGAGGTGGAGGTTGGGGTTCATGGCAGGGTCACAGGTTGTCGTCAGACGCCACTAATGTGCTCTTCTGCGCCTTCTCTCGCCGCTCCTTCTCCTTCTCCCGCCTCTCCTTCTCCTTCCTTCTCTTCTCTTCTCGCTTCCACTTCTCCTCCTCCCGTTTCCTCTTGTCCTCCTGTTTCTGCTTCTCCTTTTCCTTCTCATCCGCATCATCCCCACCACTGCTGCTGTCACTGCTGTCACCGCTATCACTGCTTGCGTCACCGCTGCTCTCACGGAACCCCATGAGGCGCTGCATGCTCACCACAGTGCGGCACCACCACTTGCGCCGGTCGCACGCCATCACACGCATCGGCTCGCCCGCCCCTCCACTCCCACCATCCCCCCCATCGCCCCCGCCATCGCCCCCCGCGCCCTGCTGCAGCAGGAATTGGGCGACAGCAGCGCGCACGAACACACCCGCCTCGTGCTGCAGCAGCGAGGTGACAAAGGAGTCGATGGCGGCGGGCGGCACGGGCACGGGGGTGAGGGCGGCCGCGATGGCCACCATGTCCTGCTGCAGCGCTGTCAGCGCCGCACTGCCGTTGTATGTGTACGGCACTGCCGTGGCACCTAGGGACGTCACTGGGGGCAGTGTCCCTGCAGCACACACAGGCACAGGCACAGGCACAGGCACAGGCACAGGCACAGGCACAGGCATGGGCACAGGGAGAGAGGGCAGATGCGAGTGGTGTGTGAGGCAAGGCAAGCGGTGTGGCAGTGGGGAGAATGGGATGGGTGTGGCAGTGGGGAGAATGGGATGGGTGTGGCAGTGGGGAGAATGGGATGGGTGTGGCAGTGGGGAGAATGGGATGGGTGTGGCAGTGGGGAGAATGGGATGGGTGTGGCAGTGGGGAGAATGGGATGGGTGTGGCAGTGGGGAGAATGGGATGGGTGTGGCAGTGGGGAGAATGGGATGGGTGTGGCAGTGGGGAGAATGGGATGGGTGTGGCAGTGGGGAGAATGGGATGGGTGTGGCAGTGGGGAGAATGGGATGGGTGTGGCAGTGGGGAGAATGGGATGGGTGTGGCAGTGGGGAGAATGGGATGGGTGTGGCAGTGGGGAGAATGGGATGGGTGTGGCAGTGGGGAGAATGGGATGGGTGTGGCAGTGGGGAGAATGGGATGGGTGTGGCAGTGGGGAGAATGGGATGGGTGTGGCAGTGGGGAGAATGGGATGGGTGTGGCAGTGGGGAGAATGGGATGGGTGTGGCAGTGGGGAGAATGGGATGGGTGTGGCAGTGGGGAGAATGGGATGGGTGTGGCAGTGGGGAGAATGGGATGGGTGTGGCAGTGGGGAGAATGGGATGGGTGTGGCAGTGGGGAGAATGGGATGGGTGTGGCAGTGGGGAGAATGGGATGGGTGTGGCAGTGGGGAGAATGGGATGGGTGTGGCAGTGGGGAGAATGGGATGGGTGTGGCAGTGGGGAGAATGGGATGGGTGTGGCAGTGGGGAGAATGGGATGGGTGTGGCAGTGGGGAGAATGGGATGGGTGTGGCAGTGGGGAGAATGGGATGGGTGTGGCAGTGGGGAGAATGGGATGGGTGTGGCAGTGGGGAGAATGGGATGGGTGTGGCAGTGGGGAGAATGGGATGGGTGTGGCAGTGGGGAGAATGGGATGGGTGTGGCAGTGGGGAGAATGGGATGGGTGTGGCAGTGGGGAGAATGGGATGGGTGTGGCAGTGGGGAGAATGGGATGGGTGTGGCAGTGGGGAGAATGGGATGGGTGTGGCAGTGGGGAGAATGGGATGGGTGTGGCAGTGGGGAGAATGGGATGGGTGTGGCAGTGGGGAGAATGGGATGGGTGTGGCAGTGGGGAGAATGGGATGGGTGTGGCAGTGGGGAGAATGGGATGGGTGTGGCAGTGGGGAGAATGGGATGGGTGTGGCAGTGGGGAGAATGGGATGGGTGTGGCAGTGGGGAGAATGGGATGGGTGTGGCAGTGGGGAGAATGGGATGGGTGTGGCAGTGGGGAGAATGGGATGGGTGTGGCAGTGGGGAGAATGGGATGGGTGTGGCAGTGGGGAGAATGGGATGGGTGTGGCAGTGGGGAGAATGGGATGGGTGTGGCAGTGGGGAGAATGGGATGGGTGTGGCAGTGGGGAGAATGGGATGGGTGTGGCAGTGGGGAGAATGGGATGGGTGTGGCAGTGGGGAGAATGGGATGGGTGTGGCAGTGGGGAGAATGGGATGGGTGTGGCAGTGGGGAGAATGGGATGGGTGTGGCAGTGGGGAGAATGGGATGGGTGTGGCAGTGGGGAGAATGGGATGGGTGTGGCAGTGGGGAGAATGGGATGGGTGTGGCAGTGGGGAGAATGGGATGGGTGTGGCAGTGGGGAGAATGGGATGGGTGTGGCAGTGGGGAGAATGGGATGGGTGTGGCAGTGGGGAGAATGGGATGGGTGTGGCAGTGGGGAGAATGGGATGGGTGTGGCAGTGGGGAGAATGGGATGGGTGTGGCAGTGGGGAGAATGGGATGGGTGTGGCAGTGGGGAGAATGGGATGGGTGTGGCAGTGGGGAGAATGGGATGGGTGTGGCAGTGGGGAGAATGGGATGGGTGTGGCAGTGGGGAGAATGGGATGGGTGTGGCAGTGGGGAGAATGGGATGGGTGTGGCAGTGGGGAGAATGGGATGGGTGTGGCAGTGGGGAGAATGGGATGGGTGTGGCAGTGGGGAGAATGGGATGGGTGTGGCAGTGGGGAGAATGGGATGGGTGTGGCAGTGGGGAGAATGGGATGGGTGTGGCAGTGGGGAGAATGGGATGGGTGTGGCAGTGGGGAGAATGGGATGGGTGTGGCAGTGGGGAGAATGGGATGGGTGTGGCAGTGGGGAGAATGGGATGGGTGTGGCAGTGGGGAGAATGGGATGGGTGTGGCAGTGGGGAGAATGGGATGGGTGTGGCAGTGGGGAGAATGGGATGGGTGTGGCAGTGGGGAGAATGGGATGGGTGTGGCAGTGGGGAGAATGGGATGGGTGTGGCAGTGGGGAGAATGGGATGGGTGTGGCAGTGGGGAGAATGGGATGGGTGTGGCAGTGGGGAGAATGGGATGGGTGTGGCAGTGGGGAGAATGGGATGGGTGTGGCAGTGGGGAGAATGGGATGGGTGTGGCAGTGGGGAGAATGGGATGGGTGTGGCAGTGGGGAGAATGGGATGGGTGTGGCAGTGGGGAGAATGGGATGGGTGTGGCAGTGGGGAGAATGGGATGGGTGTGGCAGTGGGGAGAATGGGATGGGTGTGGCAGTGGGGAGAATGGGATGGGTGTGGCAGTGGGGAGAATGGGATGGGTGTGGCAGTGGGGAGAATGGGATGGGTGTGGCAGTGGGGAGAATGGGATGGGTGTGGCAGTGGGGAGAATGGGATGGGTGTGGCAGTGGGGAGAATGGGATGGGTGTGGCAGTGGGGAGAATGGGATGGGTGTGGCAGTGGGGAGAATGGGATGGGTGTGGCAGTGGGGAGAATGGGATGGGTGTGGCAGTGGGGAGAATGGGATGGGTGTGGCAGTGGGGAGAATGGGATGGGTGTGGCAGTGGGGAGAATGGGATGGGTGTGGCAGTGGGGAGAATGGGATGGGTGTGGCAGTGGGGAGAATGGGATGGGTGTGGCAGTGGGGAGAATGGGATGGGTGTGGCAGTGGGGAGAATGGGATGGCTGTGGCAGTGGGGAGAATGGGATGGGTGTGGCAGTGGGGAGAATGGGATGGGATGGGTGTGGCAGTGGGGAGAATGGGATGGGTGTGGCAGTGGGGAGAATGGGATGGGTGTGGCAGTGGGGAGAATGGGATGGGTGTGGCAGTGGGGAGAATGGGATGGGTGTGGCAGTGGGGAGAATGGGATGGGTGTGGCAGTGGGGAGAATGGGATGGGTGTGGCAGTGGGGAGAATGGGATGGGTGTGGCAGTGGGGAGAATGGGATGGGTGTGGCAGTGGGGAGAATGGGATGGCTGTGGCAGTGGGGAGAATGGGATGGCTGTGGCAGTGGGGAGAATGGGATGGCTGTGGCAGTGGGGAGAATGGGATGGGTGTGGCAGTGGGGAGAATGGGATGGCTGTGGCAGTGGGGAGAATGGGATGGGTGTGGCAGTGGGGAGAATGGGATGGCTGTGGCAGTGGGGAGAATGGGATGGGTGTGGCAGTGGGGAGAATGGGATGGCTGTGGCAGTGGGGAGAATGGGATGGGTGTGGCAGTGGGGAGAATGGGATGGGTGTGGCAGTGGGGAGAATGGGATGGGTGTGGCAGTGGGGAGAATGGGATGGCTGTGGCAGTGGGGAGAATGGGATGGCTGTGGCAGTGGGGAGAATGGGATGGCTGTGGCAGTGGGGAGAATGGGATGGCTGTGGCAGTGGGGAGAATGGGATGGCTGTGGCAGTGGGGAGAATGGGATGGCTGTGGCAGTGGGGAGAATGGGATGGCTGTGGCAGTGGGGAGAATGGGATGGGTGTGGCAGTGGGGAGAATGGGATGGGTGTGGCAGTGGGGAGAATGGGATGGGTGTGGCAGTGGGGAGAATGGGATGGGTGTGGCAGTGGGGAGAATGGGATGGGTGTGGCAGTGGGGAGAATGGGATGGGTGTGGCAGTGGGGGAGAATGGGATGGGTGTGGCAGTGGGGAGAATGGGATGGGTGTGGCAGTGGGGAGAATGGGATGGGTGTGGCAGTGGGGAGAATGGGATGGGTGTGGCAGTGGGGAGAATGGGATGGGTGTGGCAGTGGGGAGAATGGGATGGGTGTGGCAGTGGGGAGAATGGGATGGGTGTGGCAGTGGGGAGAATGGGATGGGTGTGGCAGTGGGGAGAATGGGATGGGTGTGGCAGTGGGGAGAATGGGATGGGTGTGGCAGTGGGGAGAATGGGATGGCTGTGGCAGTGGGGAGAATGGGATGGGTGTGGCAGTGGGGAGAATGGGATGGGTGTGGGCAGTGGGGAGAATGGGATGGGTGTGGCAGTGGGGAGAATGGGATGGGTGTGGCAGTGGGGAGAATGGGATGGGTGTGGCAGTGGGGAGAATGGGATGGGTGTGGCAGTGGGGAGAATGGGATGGGTGTGGCAGTGGGGAGAATGGGATGGGTGTGGCAGTGGGGAGAATGGGATGGGTGTGGCAGTGGGGAGAATGGGATGGGTGTGGCAGTGGGGAGAATGGGATGGGTGTGGCAGTGGGGAGAATGGGATGGGTGTGGCAGTGGGGAGAATGGGATGGGTGTGGCAGTGGGGAGAATGGGATGGGTGTGGCAGTGGGGAGAATGGGATGGGTGTGGCAGTGGGGAGAATGGGATGGGTGTGGCAGTGGGGAGAATGGGATGGGTGTGGCAGTGGGGAGAATGGGATGGGTGTGGCAGTGGGGAGAATGGGATGGGTGTGGCAGTGGGGAGAATGGGATGGGTGTGGCAGTGGGGAGAATGGGATGGGTGTGGCAGTGGGGAGAATGGGATGGGTGTGGCAGTGGGGAGAATGGGATGGGTGTGGCAGTGGGGAGAATGGGATGGGTGTGGCAGTGGGGAGAATGGGATGGGTGTGGCAGTGGGGAGAATGGGATGGGTGTGGCAGTGGGGAGAATGGGATGGGTGTGGCAGTGGGGAGAATGGGATGGGTGTGGCAGTGGGGAGAATGGGATGGGTGTGGCAGTGGGGAGAATGGGATGGGTGTGGCAGTGGGGAGAATGGGATGGGTGTGGCAGTGGGGAGAATGGGATGGGTGTGGCAGTGGGGAGAATGGGATGGGTGTGGCAGTGGGGAGAATGGGATGGGTGTGGCAGTGGGGAGAATGGGATGGGTGTGGCAGTGGGGAGAATGGGATGGGTGTGGCAGTGGGGAGAATGGGATGGGTGTGGCAGTGGGGAGAATGGGATGGGTGTGGCAGTGGGGAGAATGGGATGGGTGTGGCAGTGGGGAGAATGGGATGGGTGTGGCAGTGGGGAGAATGGGATGGGTGTGGCAGTGGGGAGAATGGGATGGGTGTGGCAGTGGGGAGAATGGGATGGGTGTGGCAGTGGGGAGAATGGGATGGGTGTGGCAGTGGGGAGAATGGGATGGGTGTGGCAGTGGGGAGAATGGGATGGGTGTGGCAGTGGGGAGAATGGGATGGGTGTGGCAGTGGGGAGAATGGGATGGGTGTGGCAGTGGGGAGAATGGGATGGGTGTGGCAGTGGGGAGAATGGGATGGGTGTGGCAGTGGGGAGAATGGGATGGGTGTGGCAGTGGGGAGAATGGGATGGGTGTGGCAGTGGGGAGAATGGGATGGGTGTGGCAGTGGGGAGAATGGGATGGGTGTGGCAGTGGGGAGAATGGGATGGGTGTGGCAGTGGGGAGAATGGGATGGGTGTGGCAGTGGGGAGAATGGGATGGGTGTGGCAGTGGGGAGAATGGGATGGGTGTGGCAGTGGGGAGAATGGGATGGGTGTGGCAGTGGGGAGAATGGGATGGGTGTGGCAGTGGGGAGAATGGGATGGGTGTGGCAGTGGGGAGAATGGGATGGGTGTGGCAGTGGGGAGAATGGGATGGGTGTGGCAGTGGGGAGAATGGGATGGGTGTGGCAGTGGGGAGAATGGGATGGGTGTGGCAGTGGGGAGAATGGGATGGGTGTGGCAGTGGGGAGAATGGGATGGGTGTGGCAGTGGGGAGAATGGGATGGGTGTGGCAGTGGGGAGAATGGGATGGGTGTGGCAGTGGGGAGAATGGGATGGGTGTGGCAGTGGGGAGAATGGGATGGGTGTGGCAGTGGGGAGAATGGGATGGGTGTGGCAGTGGGGAGAATGGGATGGGTGTGGCAGTGGGGAGAATGGGATGGCTGTGGCAGTGGGGAGAATGGGATGGGTGTGGCAGTGGGGAGAATGGGATGGGTGTGGCAGTGGGGAGAATGGGATGGGTGTGGCAGTGGGGAGAATGGGATGGGTGTGGCAGTGGGGAGAATGGGATGGGTGTGGCAGTGGGGAGAATGGGATGGGTGTGGCAGTGGGGAGAATGGGATGGGTGTGGCAGTGGGGAGAATGGGATGGGTGTGGCAGTGGGGAGAATGGGATGGCTGTGGCAGTGGGGAGAATGGGATGGGTGTGGCAGTGGGGAGAATGGGATGGGTGTGGCAGTGGGGAGAATGGGATGGGTGTGGCAGTGGGGAGAATGGGATGGGTGTGGCAGTGGGGAGAATGGGATGGGTGTGGCAGTGGGGAGAATGGGATGGGTGTGGCAGTGGGGAGAATGGGATGGGTGTGGCAGTGGGGAGAATGGGATGGGTGTGGCAGTGGGGAGAATGGGATGGGTGTGGCAGTGGGGAGAATGGGATGGGTGTGGCAGTGGGGAGAATGGGATGGGTGTGGCAGTGGGGAGAATGGGATGGGTGTGGCAGTGGGGAGAATGGGATGGGTGTGGCAGTGGGGAGAATGGGATGGGTGTGGCAGTGGGGAGAATGGGATGGGTGTGGCAGTGGGGAGAATGGGATGGGTGTGGCAGTGGGGAGAATGGGATGGGTGTGGCAGTGGGGAGAATGGGATGGGTGTGGCAGTGGGGAGAATGGGATGGGTGTGGCAGTGGGGAGAATGGGATGGCTGTGGCAGTGGGGAGAATGGGATGGGTGTGGCAGTGGGGAGAATGGGATGGGTGTGGCAGTGGGGAGAATGGGATGGGTGTGGCAGTGGGGAGAATGGGATGGGTGTGGCAGTGGGGAGAATGGGATGGCTGTGGCAGTGGGGAGAATGGGATGGGTGTGGCAGTGGGGAGAATGGGATGGGTGTGGCAGTGGGGAGAATGGGATGGGTGTGGCAGTGGGGAGAATGGGATGGCTGTGGCAGTGGGGAGAATGGGATGGGTGTGGCAGTGGGGAGAATGGGATGGGTGTGGCAGTGGGGAGAATGGGATGGGTGTGGCAGTGGGGAGAATGGGATGGGTGTGGCAGTGGGGAGAATGGGATGGCTGTGGCAGTGGGGAGAATGGGATGGGTGGGGTGTGGCAGTGGGGAGAATGGGATGGGTGTGGCAGTGGGGAGAATGGGATGGGTGTGGCAGTGGGGAGAATGGGATGGGTGTGGCAGTGGGGAGAATGGGATGGGTGTGGCAGTGGGGAGAATGGGATGGGTGTGGCAGTGGGGAGAATGGGATGGGTGTGGCAGTGGGGAGAATGGGATGGGTGTGGCAGTGGGGAGAATGGGATGGGTGTGGCAGTGGGGAGAATGGGATGGGTGTGGCAGTGGGGAGAATGGGATGGGTGTGGCAGTGGGGAGAATGGGATGGGTGTGGCAGTGGGGAGAATGGGATGGGTGTGGCAGTGGGGAGAATGGGATGGGTGTGGCAGTGGGGAGAATGGGATGGGTGTGGCAGTGGGGAGAATGGGATGGGTGTGGCAGTGGGGAGAATGGGATGGGTGTGGCAGTGGGGAGAATGGGATGGGTGTGGCAGTGGGGAGAATGGGATGGGTGTGGCAGTGGGGAGAATGGGATGGGTGTGGCAGTGGGGAGAATGGGATGGGTGTGGCAGTGGGGAGAATGGGATGGGTGTGGCAGTGGGGAGAATGGGATGGGTGTGGCAGTGGGGAGAATGGGATGGGTGTGGCAGTGGGGAGAATGGGATGGGTGTGGCAGTGGGGAGAATGGGATGGGTGTGGCAGTGGGGAGAATGGGATGGGTGTGGCAGTGGGGAGAATGGGATGGGTGTGGCAGTGGGGAGAATGGGATGGGTGTGGCAGTGGGGAGAATGGGATGGGTGTGGCAGTGGGGAGAATGGGATGGGTGTGGCAGTGGGGAGAATGGGATGGGTGTGGCAGTGGGGAGAATGGGATGGGTGTGGCAGTGGGGAGAATGGGATGGGTGTGGCAGTGGGGAGAATGGGATGGGTGTGGCAGTGGGGAGAATGGGATGGGTGTGGCAGTGGGGAGAATGGGATGGGTGTGGCAGTGGGGAGAATGGGATGGGTGTGGCAGTGGGGAGAATGGGATGGGTGTGGCAGTGGGGAGAATGGGATGGGTGTGGCAGTGGGGAGAATGGGATGGGTGTGGCAGTGGGGAGAATGGGATGGGTGTGGCAGTGGGGAGAATGGGATGGGTGTGGCAGTGGGGAGAATGGGATGGGTGTGGCAGTGGGGAGAATGGGATGGGTGTGGCAGTGGGGAGAATGGGATGGGTGTGGCAGTGGGGAGAATGGGATGGGTGTGGCAGTGGGGAGAATGGGATGGGTGTGGCAGTGGGGAGAATGGGATGGGTGTGGCAGTGGGGAGAATGGGATGGGTGTGGCAGTGGGGAGAATGGGATGGGTGTGGCAGTGGGGAGAATGGGATGGGTGTGGCAGTGGGGAGAATGGGATGGGTGTGGCAGTGGGGAGAATGGGATGGGTGTGGCAGTGGGGAGAATGGGATGGGTGTGGCAGTGGGGAGAATGGGATGGGTGTGGCAGTGGGGAGAATGGGATGGGTGTGGCAGTGGGGAGAATGGGATGGGTGTGGCAGTGGGGAGAATGGGATGGGTGTGGCAGTGGGGAGAATGGGATGGGTGTGGCAGTGGGGAGAATGGGATGGGTGTGGCAGTGGGGAGAATGGGATGGGTGTGGCAGTGGGGAGAATGGGATGGGTGTGGCAGTGGGGAGAATGGGATGGGTGTGGCAGTGGGGAGAATGGGATGGGTGTGGCAGTGGGGAGAATGGGATGGGTGTGGCAGTGGGGAGAATGGGATGGGTGTGGCAGTGGGGAGAATGGGATGGGTGTGGCAGTGGGGAGAATGGGATGGGTGTGGCAGTGGGGAGAATGGGATGGGTGTGGCAGTGGGGAGAATGGGATGGGTGTGGCAGTGGGGAGAATGGGATGGGTGTGGCAGTGGGGAGAATGGGATGGGTGTGGCAGTGGGGAGAATGGGATGGGTGTGGCAGTGGGGAGAATGGGATGGGTGTGGCAGTGGGGAGAATGGGATGGGTGTGGCAGTGGGGAGAATGGGATGGGTGTGGCAGTGGGGAGAATGGGATGGGTGTGGCAGTGGGGAGAATGGGATGGGTGTGGCAGTGGGGAGAATGGGATGGGTGTGGCAGTGGGGAGAATGGGATGGGTGTGGCAGTGGGGAGAATGGGATGGGTGTGGCAGTGGGGAGAATGGGATGGGTGTGGCAGTGGGGAGAATGGGATGGGTGTGGCAGTGGGGAGAATGGGATGGGTGTGGCAGTGGGGAGAATGGGATGGGTGTGGCAGTGGGGAGAATGGGATGGGTGTGGCAGTGGGGAGAATGGGATGGGTGTGGCAGTGGGGAGAATGGGATGGGTGTGGCAGTGGGGAGAATGGGATGGGTGTGGCAGTGGGGAGAATGGGATGGGTGTGGCAGTGGGGAGAATGGGATGGGTGTGGCAGTGGGGAGAATGGGATGGGTGTGGCAGTGGGGAGAATGGGATGGGTGTGGCAGTGGGGAGAATGGGATGGGTGTGGCAGTGGGGAGAATGGGATGGGTGTGGCAGTGGGGAGAATGGGATGGGTGTGGCAGTGGGGAGAATGGGATGGGTGTGGCAGTGGGGAGAATGGGATGGGTGTGGCAGTGGGGAGAATGGGATGGGTGTGGCAGTGGGGAGAATGGGATGGGTGTGGCAGTGGGAGAATGGGATGGGTGTGGCAGTGGGGAGAATGGGATGGGTGTGGCAGTGGGGAGAATGGGATGGGTGTGGCAGTGGGGAGAATGGGATGGGTGTGGCAGTGGGGAGAATGGGATGGGTGTGGCAGTGGGAGAATGGGATGGGTGTGGCAGTGGGGAGAATGGGATGGGTGTGGCAGTGGGGAGAATGGGATGGGTGTGGCAGTGGGGAGAATGGGATGGGTGTGGCAGTGGGGAGAATGGGATGGGTGTGGCAGTGGGGAGAATGGGATGGGTGACATGGCATGGATGGGGTGCATGGAGGGTGGCGTGCAATGCAGCACAAGGCTGTGCCGGGGCGACTGCGAGGCGAGATGTAGGCCAACCAGCAGGTGGCATGCTCAAGTGGTGTGGTGACACGTGCATGGCTGAACCGCACAGCCCCATGCAAGCCCACAGCCTTGAGCACATGCAGTGGGGAATGCTCACGGGGGCAGTGGGCGTGGGGAATGCTCACGCGGGCAGTCAGTGCGGGGCGAGGAACGCAGGGAGAGGAAGGGCAGGAGCGAGCCCGCCCAGGCGTCCCTGGCGGTGAGCACGTCCTGCTTGGCCGTCAGCCCGAACACGTCCCTCAGCGTTGCCGCCACCGACGTGTGCTCGAACTGCGATGTCGGGTATGGGCCTCGTGGGCGGTGGATCACTGGCGGGCCGAGAGAAGGCGGAGGGGTATGGGAAGGGGGGATGGGAGGAGGGGAGGAGGTGGGGGAGAGGGGAGGAGGTGGGGGAGAGGGGAGGAGGTCGGATCAGTGCCGGAGAAAGGGGAGGGGAAAAGCGGATGAGTGACGGAGCGGGGGAAAGAGGGGAACAGTGGATGATTGGAAAATTGGCGTTGGGAAGAAAGGGCTGATGATTGGCGGCAGAGACGGGGAGGGGAGGGCGGATGAATGGCACAGGGGGCGGACAGGAAAAGGGGGAAACGGGGAGCGGAGCGGAGCGCACCCATGCCTTTGTCCACCCAGGGCGAGATGACGAAGGTGGGCACGCGCACGCCGAGGCGGCGGAAGTTGAAGGCGTCCTCCTCGCCCACCACGCCGTCGGGGGACGGCACGCCCGCCATGGGCGGCGCCACGTGGTCGAAGAACCCGCCGTGCTCGTCGTACGTCACGATCAGCAGCGCGTTGCGCCACTGCGGCCCGGCGCGCAGCGCCTCGTACACGTCTTTAATCAGCTGCTGGCCGTGGCGCACGTCGTGGCCCGGGTGGTCGTCGTTGCCCGGCTCGCGCGAGAAGTCGAAATACTGCGGCTCGACAAACGAGTACGCGGGCAGCCGCCCCAGCCGCGCCTGCGCGTAGAACAGCTCGATTGGGCGGAACCTGCGCGCGTGCTTCCGCCGGCGCAGCGAGGAGAGCGCGAGCGACGCGGGGATGTCGTGGTAGAAGATGCCGAAGGACACCTTGCGGCGCGAGAGCACGTCGAAGATGGTGCGCGCGGGGAAGCCCGCGAGCAGCACGGGCTTGCGCTCCGCCAGGAGCCCCTTGGACGTGGCGGCGTGCAGGAAGTAGCGGTTGGGATGGGTGGGGCCCGGTACGGACGAGAACCAGCGGTCGCAGACGGCGAAGTTGGTGGCGAGCGCGGTGGTCACGGGGAGCGCGGCCGGCGGAAAGGCGGCCATCACCTCCGCGGAGAACCCCTCGCGCACCTCCTCCGCCTGCTGCGCGAATCCCCGCATAAGCCGAGAAGAGGCCTGGGAGAGGTAGTGGGGGCGGAGCAGAGGGGGGCGTTGGCCGGGAGCGGAGTAGCGGAAGGAGAGGACAGGCGGAGGGTGGATCAGGAGGCAAGGGAGACCAGGAAGCAAGTGGCCGGATAACGGAAAGAGAAGAGGCGGCAGGGGGGGGGGGGGGCGATAAGGAGCGGCAGCGGCGGGATGGCAGGCTTAGAATCTCTGCGACGCGCGGATAGGGCGAGGTTTGGCAGGGAGGCGGATGGGATAGGTGATGGCGACACGAAATCGGTCTGACGGGCTGAATCGCTGGTGGTGGTGCGAGCATGAGCACGCCACGTGTCGTACCTTAGCTACCAATTTTCCGCCGAATATCTGATTGCGAACGCCTTTGAAGGAGTGGTCGGGGTCCTCGCTGCAGTTGTACCGCGCTCTATCGTTAATGCACACTTGCTCGAACGTCACCCCGCCTGCCGAATTACCCGATACGCTCGACTCGCCCGAATCGCCCACGCCAGCCGAGTTGCCGGACAGGCTCGACTCGCCCGAATCGCCCGAATCGCTTGATGGGGCCGGCGGGTCCGCGCCGCGGGCCTTGGCGACGATGGGGTTGCACTCGGAGCCATCGAGGCCGTCGATTTCGGCGTTGCGGGGCTGCAGCCATCCCAGCACGTGATCGAACGAGCGGTTCTCCATCATCAGCACCACCACGTTCTTGATCCGCTCCGACGCCGCCACGTGGCAGCTGATGACTAGGCAGAGCATTGAGAGACCGGATAGGGTGGCACGGCGGCGGAGGCGAAAGCGCCGCGGCGGCCGCCATTGATGGGGCATCGCTGAGGTCTAGGCCGGAAACAGAGTATGGCCGTGTGAAGGCAAACAGCTGTGCTACTTGGAAAGGTTTGACGCTGGACTTGACTCTACAACCGCGATCTACGAACGAGGGCACGTGAGCAATTTTGTCATAAACGAGCCATTGAAGGTTTGAAGCTGCTCAATCCCATAATAAGAGGTAAGTTGGCCTGCGTTGATAACATAGCTACTGAGAGACGACGAATAGCACACAGGAGTCTTCCCAATTCTCCCACTTATTGGTGAATGCAATTCTACTTTTCACCAGCAGCCAACACCATCCGCAAGGGCACTTGCGCTGGGCCCCAAGCGGGTTACCCTGTTCTGCTCGCCCTCCAGTGGCGTCGATGGAAAAGGCAACTGCAAATCTTCAGCATAAAAATGTTACCGCGCAGCCGTCTTTCTTGTATCCTACCCTGCCCGGCCGCTAGTCTGCCTCAGGTCGCCTCGGTTTTGAGGCGAACAAGGGCGGACGGAAAATATTTCGAAATCGCTCAACTCCAGCTCTAGCTCTCCTCGAATTGGTTGGATTCCGACAGAAACACTTGCACAGACTGTGGCCGCCGCCCTCTTTCCCTCACGAGTCGCGCCGCTCTGCGACACATTGCGATCGCGAAAGGGTGGTGAGTTTGTGAGTCGCCACCATAACCATCAAGCGCGGGCGAAGATGGACGAACCAGACAAAGAGCGTCGTCGGGAGAGTGACGAACTGCCAGGCACCTGAGTGCGATCGCGTCTGAAGATTCTGTGGTGACGTGGCAACCATCTGTTCACGCCACGCCACACTACACAACGAACCACCCTTCCCCAATACACACCCCCTCCTCGGTCCAGGCAAAACAGTCAGTCACTGTTTATGGGGGCAAAAGAGACACCCTAATGTAAGGTACTTATAGCAGATGATATATTTTAGCCTAACCATATATACACATAATAAATAGCTGGCTACACATAATTAATTGATGGCTGGCAACCCAATTGCCAACTCTCTACTTGTCCACTGCTTAGTCATTCCTGTGAAAGCATTGCTCGGCGTTGAAGATGATAGAAAACACAACTACCAATAGATGTGCTGATGTGACGAGGAGACCCGATTTTAGTCAGCATCAAAGCACTGGGCAGCAGTGCAAGCACGCTGGCAGTCAGGCACTGGGTGGCGGTCAGGGGCAGCAGGACAGGCCGTGTCCACAACAGCAGGAATGACCAAAATCACCCTGATCCACCAGCTCCCAACCTTGCATCCGCCTCAGGCCACAGAGTCCTGCTCACAGCCCTGCGTCTGCTGAGCTGCTGGGATCTGTGTGGCACACTGTGGGGCTGTTCAGGGCTGACTGTGACCGCGAGTGTGAGGGTGGCCGATGGCTGTTAACTACCCTCGGGTCAGTGACAAGCCGTGGGCTGCTGTGCAGGGCAGTGAGGGCCGTTTGACTAGGGATGGCCCTGTTACTAGCAAGACTTATGGACACGCCTTCTCTTCGCTGCCGCCCCGTGCCAGACCTGCCAGCTGTAGGGCTGTTAAGCGGGGAGCGATGGAGGTGGGAGAAGCTGGAGGAATGTGTGCGGTGGTGGGCAGGGGAGAGGGGCGAGCGGGTGGGGGCAGCGGTGGCAGTGCAACGTGCGGAGTGCGCCCTGCGTGGAACGGCCAGCCCTGGAACCTCACCTTCCTTCTCCTCCGCCCCCTCCTCCTGCTGCTGCTGCTGCTGCCACGGCTGGGCGAGGGCATGTGTGGGTGGTGCAGTGGGCCTGCACACGGGTGGAGGAAGCACCACACAGCTCGTCCCTGTGGCACACCCAAACCGTGGAGAGGGGGTCGGGCTGTGACTGTTACGAGCATGATCCTGTATGCGTTCGGGTGGTTGTGTCCTGCCGATCAACACCTCACCTGCCACATCGCCTCCTTCCCCCCTCACAACACATTCTCCTACCCGCTCCCCGGCAGTGCATGATGTTGCTGGTCTCCCAGGACCACTGTGGCACTTCAAATGTGCAGACGCGGGGCTGGGCGGCGCCTGACTGTGCGGTGTGGGGCTGGGCGGCGCCTGACTGTGCGGTGTGGGGCTGGGCGGCGCCAGGGCGCGAGCCACCAGGCGCCACATGGGCACGTCTGCCTCTTCCATAGGCATTCCGTCGTGGACACGCATGGCAGCATCCGATTGGCCGCCAAATGATGCCCGCCGTTGCGGCTGCCTGTTTCTCATGATCACATTTCGTCCTTGCAGCAACCGCTCCCCTCTCCCCACTTTCTGTGTTCCCCACTCTTCCTCCCCTTCTTCCTCCCCCTCACCCTCCCTCATCTCCCTCTCCCCGCTCGTCTCCGATACCCACTTCTCTCGCCACCCCATCACCTCACACTCCTCCTGCCCCCTGCCCTCGCCCTCGCCTCTCCCCCACTGCCGCAGCGGCTGCTCCGCGAGCAGGCGTGCTGGCGGGCAGCTACGGGGCGCGGGATGGGTGGGGGAGCGGGGGAAGGTGAGGGGGAGGAGGGGGAAGGGCAAGCGTGTATGGTGGGCGGCGGAGGGGGAGAGCTTCGGTTGCAGTTGCGAGGGCGGGCGGTGGAAGCTGCGCGCGCGGGCAAGGTCGGCCGCCTCCTGCGCCATTGGCGCATCAGACTCGCGGCGGCGGGTGGGCGGATGGTGGAAGCTGGCCGCGCGGAGAAGGTCCGCTTGGTCGTGGGAGGCGTACTGCGCAATGAGCTCGGGAATGCAGGGGCGCGGAGACGAGTGCGCGCTGGGCGCGCGCGGACGGGACGCCTGGAGCAGGCGCGGAGATGCGGAGGCGGAGGGAGGAGGGGAAGGGGCGGCACGCGGAGAGCGCGGGTGTAGCAACCTCGGGGATTCAGCGCGAGTGGAGGCGAGCGGGAGGGCGGACGGGCTGGCAGCAGCGGAAGGAGCGGGTGGGGAGGAGGCGAATGAGGAAGGCGAGGAAGCAGCGGAGTCAGCAGACGCGGCGGGCGAAACAGCAGCTGCGGCAGAAAGGTCATTGACTGCCTGCGCGGCCCTGACGGCAGCATGGGTGGCGGCGGTGCCACGGCAGGTGTGGGGGGCGCACTGGGAGGGCAGGATGAGCGACGGCGGGCGTGGCCCGCGCATCTGCACGCCTTGGGCTCCCCCTGCTGCAGTTGAGGCGGCAGGGCGAACGCGAGCGAGCGGGCCACGGCTGGCGGGAGCACCGGCGAGACCGCCGGAATGGACAGCACTTGCCGCAGGGGTACCTTGGAATGCCGCCCGCTCGAGGTGCGAAGAATCGCGGTGCGTCGCTGACGGACGACTCGCGCTCGGAACGCTCGGCGCGATGAGATTCGGCGAATCTTGCGACTTGCGGGAAGTTGACGCGTCGCCGCGTGGAGAGCCAACGAGCGCGGCGTCGCGCTTCAGGCGAGTCGGCGGCACGGCGGCACGTCGACACCCAGAAAACGCGCGCCGTTGGTTCTCCATCGCGCGCCCATTGCCGGGAGCGGCTCCCTGCGCAGCTGCGCCAGATGGTAACCGCGGCGATGAGATCCTTGGCGAAAACGCTGGCGAAGAGCCATGAGGCGAAATGCATCCACCAGGGGAGAAAACCCTGGGCGAAAAAGTGGGCGAAAGATCGCCGTCGCAGGTGCTCGGCGTGGCGGGAAACGAGAAGCCGTCCCAAGAATTCGACGCCGCTTCAGCTTCCTGGCCGCCTTCTGTCGCGAGTGTGACTAAAGCGGGGTCAACAGTGATCGCTGGAGGGCCAGACGCTCGCGACTCGAGCACGGACGGGCGGATGGGCGCGGGCGTGCCGTGGCGCGAGCCTAGGACCTGGCGACGATGCTTCTGATGGCGACGATCCTTGGCGACGGATTCGGCCGACTGCGACGGCACCTGGTCCTTGGGACTGACCGCGTGCATGCCCGCCTGCATGAATTCCATTTGCGCGGGCTGGGAGGACAACGAAGGGTCGATCACATCCATTGAAAGCTCCTAATAGCGATGCGACGATCGAATCTGAGAGCATTCTCCAACTCTTAACTAGACTCGCGGACAGACGCTGAAACTGCGGATTGCTGTTCAGTGCGAGACCACAAGCTTGCTAGGTGGGCGCAGTAACTAGGCAGCGAGGCCGACAAAGTCGCCAGCCGACAGGGTTATGGCGATGGCTGGCTGTTTGTCGTGCAAGCTCCATGTCATGTGCCTACTGCGCAGGCACCGTATTGCTGTGGTGGTGTGGTGTGGGCCATGACGGGGGCTGGGTGCTGCTCACCGCTCGTGCGTGACTACCCTCTGGGCTGGGCAATCACGTGGAATCACCGTCCGCCGAGCACCACGCCACGATGGATGATGGGCGCAGAAATGCAAGAAATGCAGCGCTTGGCGCAAGCAACCAATTTTCCGCCACGCGAGGGGAAGCTTGGTTTTGGTTGGGGGGGGTCTGACAAGGCATCGGAGGGGAAGGGATACATCCCATCCAGCCACAGGGCGAGCGGAATGCTCTGCCTGGCTGGAAGCAACGCAAGGCAGCAGGTGGGCGCGACTCGCTGACATGGAGGCGGGAGTTGTCAGTTTCGCGATGGTTCGAACGAAAGATTGACGTGGCATACAAACATGTTGACGGAATAGAAGAATGGCGCGCCGAGCCAGGTTGGGTGTGGTGAATATGCGGCCCTCTTTCAAGTGAAGTCAATGGTGCAGATAATTGTTGGAATCACGAATGTATGCGAAGTGGAATGCTTGTGAAAACACGCTGCGCATTTATAAAAGAGCATATTAGTGGGCAGTGGACATACATCAGGGCCCAGTTCGGATGTCATTGTGGCCATTGTTGGCATTATGGGCATTTTTAACGGGCCCCCCAAAATTTGCCGCTTGGGCATTTCCAGAAACAGCTTCGAAATCGGACTGGAGCTGCAGTGCACCTTCGAAAAAACGGGCTTGAGTGTTCGGTTGGCACTAATTGGGTTCAGATACGTGTTCCTTGATGTGTGACAAGCCAGGCAGCACATTTTTCGATACATGTCATCCAAATGATGCAGATTTGAAGCGTCAAAACAGGCGGCAGCAGCACTCCATGATACTCGCCATCAGCGGCCCAGCGAGCATTGTTCCATCGCTGCGTGATGCGCATCAACGACGAGATGCGCCTGACCCTCATACCCATGGCGTTTCATGGGTCCCTCGTCCTCCTCGCTCTTCTCACCACCACACGAGCTCCGAGATGCACTGGGTCGCGGCTTGCTTATCAACCACAGCATGGGAGCGGTGAGGAAGGGAGGATGCGCCATGCAGGCAGGCATGGTAATTCCTAGATGGCCCAGGGTTGCCTTGCCCAGCTACCTGCGAGCAGTGCTAGCTTAGAAGGTCGTGCACTCTCTCCTGACCTTCGGCGACCACGGAGATTGCCTTTGACAACACGATTGCCAAACAATTTGTTAATCTTACCGCGCCCAGCGCAACGTGCTTCATTCGTCGTCCCCCCTACGTGCCCGCCACCCCAATTACCACTTGCCAGCTCGCCACACGCGCTCACAGATTCGTGACGACACACTGCGAAGTTCGCGCGCGCCAGAGAATGGCGGCGAGTCAGCGCGCTGAGACGGAGTTGGACGGATCGCCGCGAACAGCCGAAGAGATACGAGCCGAGGAACGGCGGCCCGCGGAGATTGGCGGGAGCCGTGCGCCGCCCGGCGTCCGCGCAGCTGGCGATGCTCGCCTGTTGAGGTCATGCTTCGACGGACTTGCGCGCGGCCTTGACCACGCTCTTCGCACGGCCACGACGTCGCAGCAGCACGACGCCATCGCGACGTGTCTGCTCATCGCCAACACGCTGTGCGACTGGCCGGATAGCGACGAGCCACGGCCGCGGGAGGCGTTCGGCTTCCGCGTGCTGCGCAGCATGCCGGACGCCGCCGAGTCGCTGCTGCTGCGAGGCAAGCCATGGTTGCGCGGGTGCGTTGTCCCGGGGGGAAGGTGCGCCGGGAGAGGCGAGGCGGGACAGCATTGGAGTGCAGGGCTAGCGTGTGTGGTGTGGTGCCCGTGCTCTCCCCTGCTCAGCAGCGCGTCGTAACCCTATCTGTTCAACCCGCCACGCGCTGCTCGCCATCTCCCCTCCCCCCCGCCATCTCTGTGTCACTCGCCTCCAGCCCTACATGAGCTGCGCTGCGCCCTCTTTCTCCAAAACAGCCCCGCACCGTTTTCTCTCTCTCCTCGTGACCCCACGCCCCCGTTTTTTCTCCGTCGCCCTCGGCGTCGCCCTCCTCCCCCTCCCCCCTCCCCTCTTCAGATACGTTTTTCCTGATGGAGCACAGCAGCAGCAAGCGGCGCGCGGCGGAGACGGCATGGAAGAGCTTCGGCGGACCGCGGAGCAAAAAGCCTAAACCCGCCACCGCAACAGCGCCCCCCGCGCTCTGGCCGCTGCTGCCTGCATGCCTGCGTGCCCCCTTCCTGACGCAGCTGGGTGTGCCGTCGCCCGTGAACATCAAACGCAATAAGGTGCGCCACCCCGCGCAGCTTAGTGCAGCACAGCACAGCACAGCACAGCACAGCACAGCGCTCGCCTTGTGGCTCACCACGCTCGTCCACACCCACAACGCATGGCATCCCTGGAGTGGAGCAACTCTGCCAACACCAATCCACTGTTCGCTTCACTGCACTGTTCGCTTCACTGCACTGTTCACTCCACTCCACTGAACTCCACTCCTCTCCACTCCAGTGCTCACTCCACTCCACTCCACTTCACTCTCCACTCCAATTTTCTCCACTCCACTCCACTCCACTCCACTCCACTCCACTCCACTGTGATCTCTAACCCCACACGTGGGCAGCTGTCTCCCAAGCAAGCACTACCCACCATGGCATGCCTGCCTACTTACCCGCCCATCCACCCCTCACCGCTTTCCCCGTGTTCCCCATCCTGCCCATCCTCCGTTGAAGCAGAGGATGAGTACGGGAGAGGACGTGCTGGCACGGCAGCTGAGCGAGGAGCAAGTAGAGCAGGTGAGCGTGAGAGCACACGTCAGGGGTACATTGTCAGAACACGCTCCTGCCTTCCCCCTCACACTGCTCTGTTGTCCGCATGTGCTCACTTGCCCTCTTCCCCATTCCCATGCCATTGCCCACAGCGCTTCCCTCGCTCCTGTGCCCGTGCCGTCCACCCTCTCCCCTCTCCCCTGGCCCCTCGTTGCTGCGCCCAGCTGCACAGTCTCAGGGCCAGCCGCTACTTCCTGCTCCTTGACCACCCGCTGGCGCACTGACCCCCTCCTCCATCTCCCCTTCTGCCATCGCTCTCACAGTCACGCGCCCAGCCACCAGCGCCCCCGCCCGTGTCACTCCCAGGATCGCAACCCCAGGCAGCTACAGCAGCAGGCTCACAGCAGCCATCGGCAGCGTCGCCCTCCTCCTCCGCGGCGCTGGCAGCAGAGAGGGAGTCGCCCAACTTCCGCTTCTCGCAGCCGCTCTCCCTCGTCCGCATCTCCTCCCTCGCCCCCTCCCTCGCTCCTTCCCCCCCTCTCGCCCCCTCCCTCGCTCCTTCCCCCCCTCTCGCCCCCTCCCTCGCTCCTTCCCCCCCCTCTCGCCCCCTCCCTCGCTCCTTCCCCCCCCTCTCGCCCCCTCCCTCGCTCCTTCCCCCCCCTCTCGCCCCCTCCCTCGCTCCTTCCCCCCCTCTCGCCCCCTCCCTCGCTCCTTCCCCCCCCTCTCGCCCCCCCACTCGCTCCTTCCCCCCCTCTCGCCCCCTCCCTCGCTCCTTCCCCCCCTCTCGCCCCCTCCCTCGCTCCTTCCCCCCCTCTCGCCCCCTCCCTCGCTCCTTCCCCCCCTCTCGCCCCCCCACTCGCTCCTCCCCCCCTCTCGCCCCCTCCCTCGCTCCTTCCCCCCTTCTCGCCCCCTCCCTCGCTCCTTCCCCCCCTCTCGCCCCCTCCCTCGCTCCCTCACCCTCCCTCGCCCCCTCCCTCGCCCCTTCAACCTCCCTCGCCCCCTCCCTCGCTCCGTCACCCTCCCTCGCCTTCCCCTCTCCTGCCTCTCCTTGTGCCCCCACCGCCCTGACTACAACCGCCGCTGTGCCTGCCACTCCCACGGTCACAGCGAAGCAGCTGTTCTCTCACGTCAAGGCGTTCCTGGCGGGGCGAGCTGGGGGGAGTGACAGTGTGCATGGCAGTGCGGACGGTGGTGGGGGAGGTACTAATGGGGAGAGTGGAGGGGAGGAGGAGGGGCAGGGGCTGTGGCGTGTGGTGCGGGCATGCGGGGTGGAGTCAGCAGAGGGGCTGAGTGGCGTGGTGGATGAGAGGGGGTGGACCGCCATGCACGTGGCAGCCCGCAATGGTGACCCCCCCGTGGTCAGTCCCATCTCACATCACAAGCATGCATCTTCCCACTGGCACCCGTGCATCAGCTCCCACACACCGCCACCTTCCATCATCCTGTGTCTGCTGCACACGCCCCAGCGAAGCCTTGTTCCGCGCTCACACCGACCGGCTCCCTTTTTTCTCCCCCCGACTCCTCCATACATGTGTCTGCAGCTGCAGGCACTGTTGCGCATGGGCATGCCGGCGGGGGTGTGCAGCACACGCAACGCCACCACGCCACTGCACGTGGCAGCGTATGGTGGCCACGTGGATTGCATGCGCCTGCTGGCGCAGCATGGGGCCGACATCCGCGCTCGCACTGCTGGCGGCTGTGAGTGGCTGGCGGCTGTGAGTGGCTGGCGGCTGTGAGTGGTCTCACACATGGTTGAAAGTGCTTTGCTTGCATCATTCTGCTCCCAGCGTCCTTTCTTTGCTCTCCTGCCTTCACCGTGACCCTCTCCATCCTGCTCTCCTCCCGCTTGCTTCCAAAGCTGCTTTCGTCCCCCGCCTATATCCGACCGCCTCCCGTCATCCACCCTCCACTCTCCCAGGGACGCCGCTGCACAACGCAGCGAGCCAGGAGCAGTGGGACGCAGTGAGATGGCTGGCACGGCGGGGGATAGCACCAGCAGAGGTGGAAGCAGCCGGGGCCAACCCCAAGGCGCACCTCAAGGCGCACCTCATGGCAAGGGCGGTGCAGATGGTGCGGGAGGAGCATGAGCGGCGCGTAGGGTGTGGGGGGATGGAGGAGCATGGATGGGGGGACGAGCCTTGTGTGGATGCATTTCTTGCGCTTGATGATCACCCTGCTGCGCTGCCTGACTTCCTGCTCCCACTGCTCAGTGGTTAGAATGCACGGGGGAGGGAGAGGCCGAACGAGCCGATAATGAGGAGCACAGCATTTGAGATAATTCTAAAAATGCCATAAACACACGTGTACCACGTAGGGTTGTGCCTGGAAACTATATAGAAAGGAGTGGTACGGTACGGTGGTTTTCATGGTGACACATCAACTGGGCTGATCCCTGCGCAGTCCTACCCACGGCATCGTGTGCCTGCACAAGAGGGGCCATCTGTTCGACAGATCTGCGGGCGTTAGCGGCCGAACGAGCCGTGTTCCATCGCTGCTGATGCACGTCAACGGCGAGATGGCGTTTCGTGGGTCCCCCTCGTCACTCCGCGCTCTCCTCACCGCCACCGAGGCTCGACACCCGCTGCGTCGCGGCTTGCTTATCAACCACTGCCTGGGAGCGAGGGAGCAGGGAGAGCGGAGGGAGATGTAACAAGGCGGGATGCGCCATGCACGCATGCATGGGGATTCCCGAACGGGCCACCGTTGCCCGGCTAACTCCAAGCCGTGACGGTTGCGAGCCTAGAGCACTGTCTCCTGTCCTTTCGCGGCCACACAGACATGGCCTAGGAAGACGCGATTTTTAAACTGGCTAGTCTGATCGCGCCCATTTCAACGGCCTTCCTTAATCGCCTCCCCGCTCCCGCCGCTTCCGCTGTTACCACTTGCCAGCTCGCCACCCTCGCTCAACGGCTCGTGGCGACAGCATCGCGAAGTTCGCGCGCGGCAGAGAATGGCGGCGAGCCGTGAGAGAAGCGCGCCGCCGGACCCCGCGGCCGAGGCGGCGGATGCGGAGTCGCTTCGAATAGCCGAGGAGATTGTTGGGAGCGGTGCGCCGCCCGCCATCGGCGCACCCGTCGACGCGCGCCTGTTGAGAAGCGTCGACGGTCTCGCGCGCGACCTCGATCACGCTATTCGCACGGCCGCGACGCTGTCGCAGCAGCACGACGCAATCGCCACGTGTCTTCTCATCGCGAACGCGCTGTGCGACTGGCCGGAGAGCGACGAGCCGCGGCCGCGGGAGGCGTTCGGCTTCCGCGTGCTGCGCAGCATGCCGGACGCCGCCGAGTCGCTGCTGCTGCGAGGCAAGCCATGGGTTGCGCGGGTGCGTTGTGATGCGGGGGAGGTGCGCGGGGAGGGCCGAGGTGGGGCAGCAGTGGGGTAGCGGGGAAGATTAGGGCTGTGTGTGCTTGGGTAGCCCTAGTTGACGCAGCCACGCGCTGCGTGCCATCTCCCCATCGCCCTCTCCGTGTCTCTCGCCTCCAGCCCATGTGAGCACTCAGCACCGCACCATTTTCTCTTCCCTCATCCCCCCACGCCTTTTCCGCCTCCGCTCGATCTCCCTCTTCCCCCCTCCTCTCCGTCGCCCTCGTCCTCGCCTCCCTCTCTCACCCCCTGGCAGACACGTTCTTTGTGATGGAGCACAGCAGCAGCAGCAGGCGGCGGGCAGCAGCGACCCCGTGGAGGGGCTTCTGCGGCCCGCAGGGCAGCTCGCACGTCCCCGCCACCGCCACCACGCCCGCTGCTCTCTCCCCGCTGCTGCCCGCGGGCCTGCGCGCGCCTTTCCTTACGCAGCTGGAGGTGGCGTCCTCACAGGTCGACCGCACTGCCAAGGTGCGCCGCCCAGCACAGCTCAGCACCGCGCTTGCCTTTTCACCCACCTCGCACGTCCGCAAACATCACTCGAAACATCTCTCCTTCTGCCGCACGCCACTATGTGACTCGCTCTAATCTGACCCCCTACCTCCCTCACACGGTCCTTGCTCACCTGTGGCCTCTTCACTCCCATGCACCACCCACCTTACTGTGGCATGCCTGATTGCTGAACCATCCCGCCACCCCTATCCTCGCCCTCCTCATCCCCATTCTGCCTTTCCTGCAGAGGCAGCGGTCGCAAGGCGCCATGCTGGCACGGCAGCACAGCCAGGAGGACGTGGAGCAGGTGAGCGCGCACCACACGGGTACCTTGTCTTTAGCATCCCGTGCCCCGCTTGCCCCTTGCTCCACTCTGCCGCCTGCTCATGCTGCTGCATGCGTGCGTTCCCTTGCCTCTTCACCATTCCCATTCGCTCGCCTCCTTAACTCACCTGCCCATGGTGCTTCCCCTCCCCCTCGTGCCCGTGCCGTCCATCCCCGCCCTCGTTGCTGCGCCCAGCTGCACAATCTCAGGGCGCGGCGTTTCTTCCTGCTGCTCAACCACCCACTGTCGCACCGACCTCCACCTCCATCTCCCCTGCCACGATCACTCTCACAGTCACAGTCCCAATCATCAGCGCTCCACCCCGTGTCACCCTCAGGCTCGCAACCACAGGCAGTGACAGCAGCAGGCTCACAACAACCAATGGCGGTGTCGGCCTCAGGGTCACAGCCGTGCACCCCATCGTTCTCCTCCTCCGCAGTGCCCATGGCAGAGAGTGCAGCGCCCCCCCACCGCTTCTGCCAGCCACTCTCCCTTGTACTCGTCTCCTCCAACCCCTCCCACACCCCACCTCCCACCTCTACCACCTCCCCCTTCCCCTCTCTCGCCCCTGCCGCTGCCCCTGCCGCCCTGCCTGCACCCGCCGCTGCGTCTCCCACTCCCACAGTCAACGCGAGGGAGCTGTACTCTCACGTGAAGGCGTACCTGGTCGGGCGAGCTGGGGGGAATGGCAGTGGGGACGGCAGTGCCGAGGGCAGTGCGGAGGGCAGTGGGGACGGCAGTGGGGGGGGCAGTGGGGAGGAGGAGGCGCAGGCCCTGTGGCGTGTGGTGCAGGCATGCGGGGTGGAGTCAGCAGAGGGGCTGAGTGGCGTGGTGGACGAGAGGGGGTGGACCGCCATGCATGTGGCTGCTCGCAATGGTGACTCCCCCGTGGTCAGTCGCGTCTCACATCTCATGCATGCATCACTTCATTGGCACCCGTGCAGCACAACCTGCCACCAGCTCCCACACCCAGGGACCCCTTATTACGCTTCTCCACCAGCCTGCCCCCGTGTGCACTCCCCAGCAAAGGCTTGATCCACGCTCACACCGGTGCCCTTTCCTGTCCCTACCTGCCGCTCCTCACCATCCACAGCTGCAGGCGCTGTTGCGCATGGGCATGCCAGCAGGGGTGTGCAGCACACGCAATGCCACCACGCCACTGCACCTGGCGGCATATGGCGGCCACGTGGAGAGCATGCACCTGCTGGCTGTGACATCCGCGCACATCCGCGCGGATGGCTGTGGTGCTGACATCCGCGCTCGCACGGCTGGCGGCTGTGAGTGCCTGGTGGCTGTGAGTGCCTGGTGGCTGTGAGTGCCTGGCGGCTGTGAGTGCCTGGCGGCTGTGACGGGTCTTGCACTAGACTGTTGAAAGTGCTTTGTTCTCTCATACTTCACGCAGCTTCCTTTCCTTTCTCTCTTGCCTTTGGGTTTACCCTCTCTACCCTGCTGTGTGAACGTGTCTGTTTCTGCATCTGCTTTTGGAGAGCCAGTCCTTTCCCTATGTAATCCAACCTCCCTATGTAATCCAACCGCCCTCCCCCAGGGACCCCTTTGCACAACGCAGCGAGCCAGCAGCAGTGGGGCGCAGTTCGGTGGCTGGCGCAGCAGGGGATAGAACCAGCAGAGGTGGAAGCAGCGGGAGGCAACCCCAATGCAAACAGGCTGCCAGCACACCTCATGGCCCAGGCGGTGCAGATAGTGCGGGAGGAGCATGCTAGGCGACCAGGCCACGCGGGAGAGGGGGGGCATGGGTTTGGGGAGGAGGCTGGTGTGGGTGCGAGCTGGGTGGATCAACTCCTTGTGCTCGACGATCACCTTGACATTGCATGATCTGATTGCCTGCTCGCACTGCTCAGTGGTTCAAACGCATGAGGTGGGAGAGGCGAGATGAACAGACAATGCAACACTTGCAGTACCGGTCACCCGTGTTGCAAGTTGGAATGCACATGTACCCCTGATTTAAATCATGGAGAGTATACTTGGAAGGTCAAGAAGGTCATCATTTCACAATTGACAACATATGATGTCAGGTCGTGTAATGGTCTAACGCGGTGAACACCACTGCTCGTGTTTGTGTACATCGCGTGAGAACATAAACACCCTGTGTCGAGGAAATGACGAACCGCCCTGTTTGTTTGTTTCCATTTCCTTTCGGCAGTGGTTTTGACAGCGCAACGCTTCGCGATCGCGTCGAATTCCTTGGGGCATACTATTTGCCCGTTTACCCTTTTTGAGTCCAAAATAAAAACTGTTTCTGTTTTACAGGATATATAGAATAATTTTATCACGTCCAACGCAGAAGAGCAGCTCGGGACAAAAAAATATATACCCTCTTGGAAGGCATGCCACGTAACGGGCATCAACCCTAAACACCATGAGGCAAGGTGTTTAGGGTTGATGCCTCCCGAATGGCTTGTCATCCGAGTGGGTTTTAGTTTTTTCCACTGGCGCTTTACTGAAACCAGGTATACTTCGTAATTACCCTTTTATACATCTGGTCACGAAAAATGGGAAATAACGAGACTGACTGCCCGTGGGAATCGGACGCGATCGCGGAGCGGGTTGCTGTCAAAGCCACTGCCCATTGGAATCGGAAACAAGAAAGCACCGCGGTCCGTCATTTCCTCCCCTGTGTCTTCCTACGCGGAACTCAAGACGAGTGGAGAGAGCGGCACGCACGCTAGCGTCTGGTTTAACGTGCGATGCGGAATCAACTGGAGGAGCCGTCTCCTCTGTCGCCTGCGGAGTTCGATCCCACCGCGCACGCCCACCAAGGCAAGCGCCGCTTGAATCGCGGCGCAGAGCGAGCCAGCGCGGATGGCGGAGCGCGGCAGTCGGCGGAAGGGGATGTCGATGGGGGGAAGCGACCGAGGAAGAGGCGGTGGGATGGCGGGAAGGGTGGCGATGCGCGCGCTGTGACAGCCGCGGACGATGCCCTTGCGATGATGAGTGGCGCGCCGATGAGTGGCGCGCCGATGGCTGCTCGCGAAGGCGGAGGTTTGGCCGCTGGAGGTGCGGACGGCAGCAGTGGCGGCGCAGACGGCAGCAGTGACAACGCGGACGGCAGCAGTGACGACGCGGATGTAGAGCGTATTGAGAGTGGCGGCTGTGGCGGTTGCATTGCAGTCGAGCGCTGGCGGTTGCATTGCAAGAAGAAATCGGAGAAGGCTGAGAGGCGAGCGAAGCGACGAGCAAGAGTGAAAGAGAGTGCAGCAGCACGGCGGGGTGTGGGGGTGGGGGTTGCAGCAGCGCCTCCAGGCGCAGGAGGGGCAGTTAGCAGTGGTATCATCAGCAGTGGTGGCAGTGGCGGTGGTGGTGTGAGTGTGGAGGAACTGGGTGCTGAGTTTGGGCCGCGTGCCGGCGCTCTTGTGGCGCGCGCTGCTCTCCCCCACATCCTTGCTGGTGAGGCGCTGCTCTCCCCCACATCCTTGCTGGTGAGGCGCTGCTCTCCCCCACATCCTTGCTGGTGAAGCGCTGCTCTCCCCCACATCCTTGCTGGTGAGGCGCTGCTCTCCCCCACATCCTTGCTGGTGAGGCGCTGCTCTCCCCCACATCCTTGCTGGTGAGGCGCTGCTCTCCCCCACATCCTTGCTGGTGAGGCGCTGCTCTCCCCCACATCCTTGCTGGTGAGGCGCTGCTCTCCCCCACATCCTTGCTGGTGAAGCGCTGCTCTCCCCCACATCCTTGCTGGTGAGGCGCTGCTCTCCCCCACATCCTTGCTGGTGAGGCGCTGCTCTCCCCCACATCCTTGCTGGTGAGGCGCTGCTCTCCCCCACATCCTTGCTGGTGAAGCGCTGCTCTCCCCCACATCCTTGCTGGTGAGGCGCTGCTCTCCCCCACATCCTTGCTGGTGAGGCGCTGCTCTCCCCCACATCCTTGCTGGTGAGGCGCTGCTCTCCCCCACATCCTTGCTGGTGAAGCGCTCTGGCGCATCAAGGAAAGGGGGATGGGGAGAAGATGGCGGAAGGGGGGGGGCACCTGGGTGAGTCAGCCCAGCCAAAGGCAGCGAGCGTGAGAAGCAGGCTGCTTGTTCACACGCCATGCTGGTGCTTGTTCACGTGCGGTGCTTGTTCACGTGCGGTGCTTGTTCACGTGCGGTGCGTGTTCACGTGCAGTGCGTGTTCACGTGCGGTGCGTGTTCACGTGCGGTGCGTGTTCACGTGCGGTGCGTGTTCACACGCCATGCTGGTCGGAAGGGGTGACAGCCATGCTGGGACCCTCGCCCTCACTCTCTCCACCCCTGTCTCCTCCACCCACCCCTGTCTCATCCACCTCCCTCCCCGGCAACATGTCCTTGCTGCCAGGCACGAATGTGCTCATGACGAGCGCCAACAAGTTCCCCAACGCGGCTTCCTTCCTCGTACGCCTCCATTCCATTCCACTCACCGCGCACCTTGCTTCCCTTCCCACACTCCTTCCTCACTACCCTTGCTGCCTGCACCGCTTCACATAATGGCATGCAACCGCTTTGTTTGAAAGGATTAATCCATTGCTAGTCGTTTTGCTTTTCATTTGACCCTTCAACAAACTCTGCAAGCAGCACCCCATGCTTCCTGCCCTCTCCCCAATCCCGCACTTTCCAACCACCAGTTGCCACACCTTCACACCCTTCTTCACCGCACGCCACCGCTTCTTCAAGCCAGTGGTGATGCCCCTGTAGAGATCCTCTTTCTGGCTGTTTCAAACTGCAGTAGGTTTGTAAGCCAAGTCCAGTCGCTTATAGCGAAGCGTTTTAAACTGCAGCAGTGTGGGGAGTGGAGGGGGGATGGTGCGGGGCATGCAGCAAGGGTGGACGCTCAGATACTGAAGATGCGGAAGGAAGGAGGGCAGTTGAGAATGCTTCCTTGCCAGGTGAAGGGAACTCATGGCAGGTGAAGTGGATCAAAGGCAGGTGAGGTGATTGCATGGCAGGTGAGGTGATTGCATGACCATGATTGCCATTTGTGATTGCTATTTGTAATTGCCATTCGTGATTGCCATTCGTGATGCCATACTGGGCCTGCATTGATGCGGTGTGTCCCTGTGCCGTGGCATGGCAGGTGATGGCATGTCCATACAAGAACATCAACGATTATCTGGAGCGCCATGCGTCTCTTGGACCCCAGCTGCAGCACGTCATGGCAAGTGAATAGAATGTAGCATGTCGGGGCAAGTGAATAGAATGTAGCATGTCGGGGCAAGTGAATAGAATGTAGCATGTCGGGGCAAGTGAATAGAATGTAGCATGGCGGGGCAAGTGAATAGAATGTAGCATGTCACGGCAAGTGAATAGAATGTAGCACGTCACGGCAAGTGAATAGAATGTAGCATGGCGGGGCAAGTGAATAGAATGTAGCATGTCAGGGCAAGTGATAATTATTCAGCAACTCAGCGAACTCAACGCAATGCATGTGGTCAAGGCATGTCATTCTGCTGTTTGTTGTACTCTAATGTGCTGAGCTCGCCGTTACCCCCTTTGGCTGCCCATTTCAACTTCCAATCATGTGCACATTCTGCTTGCTTCTTGCCACCCCTGCTCCACTCCATCTGCTCACACCATCATCACTGTGACGGCACATCAGCTGCTGGTGCTGAGTGAGCCCGAGGCACTGCGCAGGCGCACCATGGACTACATCATCTCATTCCTGCCACCCCAGCGGCAAACCATCATTCTCACCTCCGGCTCCAAGCCAAAGGTAACGACAGCAATGTAATGCTTTCTGAACCTTTCTGGTGCTTTTCGTTTTCCAATCTTGCTATGTGTGCTTCATGCCTTTCTGTCATTCTGTCGTTCTTGCTGCTGCGGTGCGGTGTGGATGAATATGCAGGTTAGACTGACGGCCAATCGCTATCTTGCAAAGGAGTATGCACACGTTGATCTCTGACCTCTGATGCTCTCCTGCACACATCATTTCCTCGGTGCTAAGGCTAATGCAACAACTTTCAAAGCAAGGAGACTTGAGGTCAATGCGAAGCCGCATTATCCTTCTTAACCAGACCTTTGCCAGATTGGACAGGTTCACGGAGCTCAGCGTTTGTTGTTGAAAGAGACGTGATAAGGCAGGTGAGATTGTAATCTACCGTTCCAGGCTGCGATATTTCGGGGAGGGTAATAGAGTCGTAGTACGTTTCCGTATAGTAAAATACAGTATATATAGGATCCCCTGGGGTTATAACACAGTATTTGTTTGTTAATTTCCAAGCCGGGGTCACTAACTGCCAGCGGCCGTGGCATGCCCTCCCATGCTGTTACCATTCTCCACAATACACTCCGTCAACAAAACCTCCAACTCATACACCTCCCGCACTATCTGCACTGCTTGGGCCATGAGGTGAGCAGGCAGCTTGTCCGCCTTGGGGTTGGCCCCCGGCCTTTCCACCTCTTCAGGCTTTATTCCCTGCTGCGCCAGCCACCTCACCGCATCCCACTGCTGCTCTTTCGCTGCATGGTGTAACGGAGTCCCTGAAGGCGAGGAAGCAGGGAGGAGAGTGGAGGGAGACAGTAGGCGAGGAAGCAGGGAGGAGAGTGGAGAGAGACAGTAGGCGAGGAAGCAGGGAGGAGAGTGGAGAGAGACAGTAGGCGAGGAAGCAGGGAGGAGAGTGGAGGGAGACAGTAGGCGAGGAAGCAGGGAGGAGAGTGGAGAGAGACAGTAGGCGAGGAAGCAGGGAGGAGAGTGGAGGGAGACAGTAGGCGAGGAAGCAGGGAAGAGAGTGGAGGGAGGCGGTGGGGACAACAATAAAGGGAAGTGCGGGATTATTAGATGCGATGCATGCTCAAGCAGAAACAACAGTCAGAAACGAAAGAGGTGTAAACACCAGTTAATCTGTCACTCACAGCACTTTCTGGTGCGAGCACGGATGTCGGCACCATGACTTCGCAGCAACTGCATGCTCTCCACATGTCCCCCCAATGCTGCCAGGTGCATTGGCGTCGTGAGGGTATCTTTGCCCAGCTCTCCCACCGACATGCCCACCCCCACTAGCGCCTCCAGCTGCACAGGAATACAAGAGGGAGTGGTGGAGACGGAATGCGACAATGGGAAGCATGCTCCTCGCCGCACGCCCATATGCACGGGTACCTTAAAGCTGAAGCAATGGGGCAAATGGGAGGGAAAGTGACGTCTGTTCAATGATGAGCACACTCGGCTCCCTCCTCCCCTGCATGCCCAACCAGCAGTGTCGCCTACGGATGGAGGCACATGGTTTGGGTGGGATGCAGGCGAACCAAAGCTGAGGGGCGGTGGGCGCGTCACACTGTGATGGATGCAGAAGCAGAAAGAGTACGGGAAATGTGCAAGAGGTGTGACGAAAGAAGGGCATGCGATGAGGTGGGAGAGAGAGTGTGTACACAGCCCGTCGCGAGTGCAGAGGGACAGGGGACAGAAAGGACAGAGTGAAACAGAGCGATGGAAAGAAGAGGCTTAGAGGATTAGAGCAAAGTAGAGGGAGAGTTGTGAGGGAGGGGATGGAGGGATGGAGGGGAAGAGGGGAACCGAGAAGCCACAGGTGAGAAGTTGAGGAAGAGGGAAAAGAAGAGAGGACGTTTTAGAGAATGTGAGATCTCACCACAGGTGTATTCCCTTGGCGCGCAGCGGAATGGATAAGCGTCCATCCATTCCAGTCGAATATGTGATGCAGCCGACTCATGCGGCCAACACCCAACTCTTGCAACAGGGTATTCAGATCCGCCTCCGGCAGACGTCGCCTGCCTTCGTTCGCCGATCCATGCGCATTCTCATTCGACTGACCCTCCCGAGTCGTCTCCGCCCCCACCACCCCCTCTCCTCGCACTCTTTCCGACACGAAAAGCACAACTTCCAAGAACAGATTCACTGCGTAAAGGTGGCATGGGCACTGGCAGGGAACTGAGGAGGGTGAGTCTGCGCAAAATGGAGGGGAATCGGAGGGCCAGTTAGGGCTCCAGGAGTGGGCGTGAGAGGGGCGGCGCGCAGAAGAGGGGGGGGTGTTGGTAGAGGAGGGGGGAGCAGAAGCCTGGGGTGGAGGTGTAGGTAGAGCAGAAGACGAAGGTGCAGGGAAGGCGAGTGGTGTGGAAAAGGGGGCAGTGCCGTGGGGGGACGCGGAGGAGGGTGGCGAGGAGCCGGAAGCGGTGTTATTATAGAAGGCATGAATATGTGTGGCAGTGGCAGGCGAGGTGAGTGCATGAGTGATGTCACGGCCAGCAGATGGACCAGATGCAACGACAGCAGGACCGGCGGGAGGGGTTGCAGCGGGAGCGGGAGCGGGAGCGGGATGATCGGAGGCAGTGGCAAGGGCAGCATGGGGGCGGCGGGATGGCGACAGCTTCTCATAGCCGATGTGGATGAGAACAAGCGGTTGCAAGTGGCAATCGCGTGGCTGTGAGGCCGTGTCTCCTGGTGACGAGCGGGGGGATGACGACGACGGCCCTGGCTGCGCCGCCACGCTCTGTGCCGCTGAAGGTGAGGGCGGCTGTGGCTCCGACACGATGGCGGCTGGTGACGTGCGCCACGAGCGGTGGCAGAGTGGGAGGGGCTCGGCGAGGTAGTACTTCCACGCGCTCAGAGAGGGTGGCTGGCAGGCCGGGTGACGGATGGCAGAAATGGAAGATAAGGTGGCAGGTTTACAAGGGATCTGGCAGAGGAAATTGACAGAAGCAGCAGCGTCAGGAGACACCCTGAGCAGGAGGCAAGCATGGATGCACATGCACAATACCCGCATGCCCCAACCCCCCATGTGACACCTGCTCACTACTTACAGCTCCCTACACACACACGCGCGCACCTCATGTGTCGGGCGGGACCTCTGTGTTGGGCAGATCAGCGTTGGGGAGGAAACAGGAGGAAGGATGGAGAGGTCAACAATTTCTTCAATCCATCGGTGGGATTTGGAAAAAAGGGGGCCATGGAGAAGTGCGGAAGCGGCGCAAGATGAGGGACGAGACGAGAGAAGAATGCGAGGTGCGAAGCCAGTGGCGAACCTTGCGTGGCGAGTGCCCGGGCTGCTTGAGTCCAGCATGGCACGTGCCCAGCGATGTGCGCAGGCGACCGTCCCGGTCCCATCTGTTGGCAGGCAGCAGTGCCTTGAAGGCGGGCGGCACAGCGACTTTGACGGGCCTTGGTGGGTAGCTTGTGCGCCCGCTGAAGCTGTTCCAGGGCGTGTTGGGGCCTCGCGTGTTGCTGCTGTCGTCTAACAGAAAGAAGGTGCCTGCTGCCATAGAGGGGTGCGCATGGGGGGTGGGCATGGTGGAGAGAGGGCATAAGGGGGTGAGCATAGCGGGGCGGACCAGAGAGTAAAGTTGAGTGCCATGGCTGCCGAGCAGCACAGCTCCGCTGAGCTCACGTTGGCAGAGAGCAGCCGAAACGATAACCACTCACCGTCGCACTCATTGCTTTCTTCCTCCCTCCCGTGTGCGTGCTGCACGCCCGTGCGCCTGCGCGCCCGCTCCGCAGCGAGCAGCTTCTTGACGGGCGGCATCTTGCAGAAGATGTCGAAGCCCAACTTCTCTTTGGGCCTGTGCGCGTCCGAGTCGGGCCAGTCGCACATGGCGTTCGCGACGAAGAGGCACGACGCGATGGCGTCGAGCTGCTGCTGCTCTGTCGTCGCCTCGCGAACGACGCGCGAGAGCCAATTAGAGAGATTCTCGACGCCGTCATCGTCGAATGCTGCCGCTGCTGCTTCTACTGCTGCTGCAGCCTCGTGTTGAGGCGTCTCAGAATCACGATAAACTGCTGCGTCGTCAAGGCTGAGATTCGCGATTTCTGCATCCATCGCAGCCCATTCACGGCCGTCTCTTTGCTGCAAGTCCTTCGGCCCAGAACCAGAATCGAAACGTGCAGGAAAAGCACTAGTCTGCGTCGTCGCTACTCACTGAATGTGGAAAGCAAAGATGATATCAGGTCGTCCAAACCGCTCGAAGGGAACAGCAAAAGTGGTTCCAGGCCTCCAGGCGACCATCAGGTCGCACGAATGGCGCTCGGCATTCCCCGCTGCGCTACGGCACCGCACACAGGGATGTTCAGCCTTGGCCAATCTGAGCTCAGGCTGAGCGGCGTCGCGGGCTGCAAACACTACGCAACGCAACGCCATGCTCGCCGCCAAGACTGCGAACCTGCGAGACTGCGCGCCGGACATTGGGATGCTGCGCACGATGGCTCGATGCGATTCGATGTGGCTGACACCGCTCCATCATGTGCGTCGCATTCGAGGGTTCCCCACGAGATGCACCTGATGATCGGCATGGGTGATTACGATGCGACATGCGCTGACGCCTCTCCACGTGCACCGAGTTCAAAGGTTCCGATGGTCGCATCGCATAGTGTGGACGGCCGCGATGGAGGCTTGCCTGCATTCCATTCCACTGCGCCATGACACTGGTTGGTGTGGGGTGGGGTAGGGGGGAACCACAGACGAGGTGAAGGGCTCAGCATGCCTTGAGAGGTGAACGTTGTGGATGGTGAAGCATCGGTAAAAGAAAACCGATAAGCAGAATTGCTACCCACACCGTGAATGTGGTACACAAGAGCAACTTTTGAAACTCGAATTCCAAAACCTGAGGAACACACTTCCGGCACAACCCTGAACCCCTCGTACACGCCTGGTCAAGTCCCCGACTCCCCAGTGCACATGCAAATCAGTACAGCGAACACCGTGGTGGCTTTGCACCGTCGAGAGGGATCTCAGGCGAAGAGGGCTCGAAATTTAGCGAATCCGTTCTTGATTAGAGTCGCTATCAGCGGCGCGCACCCATGCGTAGCATGGAATGTAACGCCTCTCGCGCTCGGGCTCGTTCGTGCGGTGCGCGCTTGCCGCTGTGATGCGCGGATCTGAAAGTATACGGCGGATCGCGACACGTTGCGCTTACGCGTCCACGTTAGCAGTGCGGCATTGGATCGTACCTGAAAACACGCACAGCCACCGTGACCTGCTTGTCGGAATCAGCAGCACGGCGCCTTTGCGCGCGTACAGGCTGCTCCGTTACAGTAGCTCTTCGATAGGAGCATTTCCAGGTCGTGCTAGCCCCGCTATTCCGTGGAAGCGCGATCCATGGTGGCGAGCGAGGCAGCCACGGGAGGGATTGAGGATTGCGTTGGCAGCCGCTGCAGACATTAAAGCAGCAGAGATTAAAGCAAAAGATATCAAAGCATTATCAGCAGCATCAGCATCGGCTTTATCATTACCTTCAGGGCTGCCGTCACCAGCACTTGGGACATCAGCAATTCATGTTGGGGGAATGAGAAGGCAGGGTATCTGGGACGACATGGGAGGCAGAGGCGGCAGGGTGGAGCAGCTGTGGTGCGCGAGAGGAATGGATTCGCGGGTGTGGCTTGTGCATGAAGCGGGGTTGATAGTACCGAGTACGAGGTGGAGGGTGGGGACGTGGAGGGCGATGTGCCACGTGGCAAAGAAGCGAGGTTTTGTTGATGGAGACGAGGGAAAGGGGAAAAACGGAAAGGGGGGGAAGGGGAAAAAAAGAGAGAAGGGGAAGGGGAAAAGTGGAAATGAGGGAAAGGTGATAAGAGGAGGCGAGGGAAAGGGGAGAAGAGGAGATGGGGAGAAGAGGAACGAAGCAGATGAAAGGAAGGGGGGTGAGGGGCAGGGCCAGGCAGGTGGTGCGGGCGATGGGAGAAAAGCGAGTGAAGGATTAGTGGGTGCGGAAGTCGAGGGCGCCGATGAGACGAGGCTGCACAGCCGGCGGAGGAGGAGGGGGAGGCCGCGGAAAGTGGGGCCTGGGCTAGATGCTGCCATCCCGTCTGCCGGTGCTGGCAGGGAAGCGATTGGGCGTGCTGGTGGCAGCGACGGCAGTGCTGTGTGGAGCGATGGCGGTGTGAGGGAGCAGCAGCAGGATGAGATGGGTGGTGCTTCCGAGTTGGAGGAGGTCCACCATGGCCTCAGCAGCACTGCACGCTCTCATGATGGTATCGCTGCCCTTAACACCTTCTCCTCCACCCTCACACCCAACCCCACCGCCAACCCCACCCCCATCGCCATTCCCGCCTCCTCGCCGCCCCCATCTCTACATGTGCAGTTCCAAGACCTCTACTCCTCCCACCTCGCGCACATCGCGCCGCCCTTCGCCTCGCACCGGGCCACGAGGGACAACGCCATGGCGCTGCTCGCCCTGCATCCCTCACCCCACACCGTCGCTGCCATCTTCCGCGCCTGCTCCTCGCTCTTCCTCGTGCCCCTCACCCACCGCATTCGGGCAGCTCTTGAGATCTTTTCTGCCCACGGGCTGCCCGAGTCGCTGTTTCTGAGTGTTATCCGGCGGGTGCCCGAGCTGATTCTGGATGCCCGGCTGGATGACGTCAGCAGCAACGGCAGCAACAGCAGAACCATTAGCAGCAGCAGCAGCAGCAGCAGCAGCAGCAGCAGCATTAGCAGAACGAGCAGCAGTAGCAGCAATGACAGCAGCAACAAGAGCAGTGACAGCCATGAGATCGACTCCATTCCAGAGCAACAACACAGTTCGACTCACCGGCAGCAACCGCTGCTTGACCCAGAGCAGCAGCAGCAGCAACACACACTTGTACCTCTCTCTCACACCCACAGCCCTCCTACCAGCCCCGCTCACTCTCACCTCCCCTCCACCGATCTCCCCCATCTACAGCAGGTGTTGCACTTCCTCTTCCTGCACCTCCCTCCCCCCACCGTCGCCAAGCTGCTGCACTCTGCTGCCTGTCGTGTCTTCTGCACGCCCCTGCCCTCGCTCCTGCTGCACCTCTCTGCAATGCACTCTATTCTCGCCCCCCCTCACTCGCTTCTCTTCCGCTACCCCCTCGCCCTCCGCTTCTCCCCTGAAATACTTAAACAGAGACTTTCCCGATTGGCTGAAATTGTGCCGCTGACAGAAGCGCAGGAGGGGTTGGGAGGTGAAAAGGAAAGTGGGGGAGAAGGAGAGGGGAAGGCAAAATGGAGCGTACGGGGAAGGGTGAGGTTTGACTCTGCCTCGCTTCTTCCAGTCCCTCCTCTCGATCCTTCCCTTTCATTTGCAGCGGATCCAGCGGTGCTCTCCCTCGTGCGCAAGCAGCCGCACATCCTCCACGCCAGAAGGGAAACCATGCAGGAGGTGGTAACCACACTCACCACTCTCTTTGGCCAACAAGGCACCTCCTACGTGCTCTCCCGTCACCCAGCCCTGCTCACCGTGTCCCCTCGGACAATAGAAGATGCCATGTTTGGACTTATCGACATTTTTGGTGAGGAAGTCACCCTAGATATGATCCAGCGCGAGCCGGGAATAATACAGGTCCGGCACAGCACACTCCGGCCGAAGATTGATTTCGTTCTCGGGGAGATGATGCGCAGCAAGGAGGACATCAGGGTGTGGCCGAACGTGCTGCTGCGCAGCCTGCCGCGCATGCTGGTGCCGCGGTACTTCCTGGTGACAAGGAAGGACCGCCATGCCGCCAGGGTGCTGTCTCTGCCGTGCCTCTTCAGCCACTCTGATGCTCGGTTCAGGCGGAGATGGGAGGTCAGTGATGCGGACTGGAGCAAGGCACTTATGGTGGGGGAAGTGTGGGAAGCCAGGAGGAAGGAGGGTGTGCTGGGTGGTGCAAATCAGTGATCGAGGGTTACACGGTTCAAGCTTGGGGCGTGTATCCGGGGGAATATGGTACATGAAGCATTATTGTAACAGAAGTCATAACGTATAACGGGCAAAGTGGAGTGCAGTTTGCACTGTTTTGATATCAGCTCTCTCGCACAAAAACACAGAACTATCAGGGTACCATTCAACCTATCTACGGCAGCAGTGGTGAAGGTGGTTGGTACGGTATGTGATTAGACTGGCAGCAGTGGTGAAGGTGGTATGTGATTAGACTGGCAGCAGTGGTGAAGGTGGTACGTGATTTGACTGGCAGCAGTCTGAAGGTGGTCCTGGTATCAGAGATGGCAGTGGTGGTAAACACCAGCAGCAGCTGTCAGCCAGTAAGGTAATCACGCTCAGCATCATTCCTCCAGTTGTAATCATCTATCTGCCCTGCCCACCTCAAAGACATTAGAGTTAAGGAAACAACCTCACAGACATTGCAACACGCTTGAGTACCTTACTGTGGATATTTTCAGCCCGTACACCTTATTGATGCTCCTGGGGAGCACAGACCCATCTGTGTCCGTCACTTGCCAACACACTTCCACATCCAGTATCCGCAGTGCCTTGAGCTCACTCAAATCCCCCGGCAATGCCTCCAGCTGCGCACAGCATGACAAAGAGAGGTCTCTGAGCCGCCTGAACTGGGACAAGGTGGGGCACAGGGAGCGTATGGGGCAGCCTGAGATCGTCAGCTCGTTCAGGCGGGTAAGCTGGGTGAGAGAGGCAGGCAGATGCTCCAGCTGCCTGCAGGAATTGAGGTGCAGCTCGCGCAACCGGGATAAGGCACCGATGTCATCCAGAAGAGAGGCCAGTTTGAACGCACCGTAAACCTGCAAAGACATCAGGTTCTGCAGCGCAGTCACACTCGCTGGCAGCTCCCTCAACTCATACACATCCAAAAGCCTCAGCTTCCGCAGCTGCGGCAGTGCTGACCCGATATCGGCCGGCAGCCTTTGCAGCTTCTCTGCGTTCATAACTAACAGTGTGCGCAGCCGAGAGAGGAACGTCAAGGCGAATGGAAGCTCCTCAGCATCGCCTGCCAATCTCAGCTGCAAATGCTCCAGGTGCAATAGGCTCCTGCTCACAGCGACCTCACGCGCCACAGAAACCTCGTCCAGGCGGAGCGCTTGATGCCCCGTCAGCGTGGTGGAGTCGTCTGGCAGAGCCATGGCCTGCCAGTTACCTCCCCAATTCAGCCATTCAATCGAAGCTGGCAGGACTAGAGGAAACCGTGTCAGCATGTCACATCGGGTCACTTCCAGCCGCTTGAGCCGTGTCAGGCCGTCCAGCCTCGTGGGCACTGAAGCCAGACTTTTGCAGTCTGAGAGTGAGAGAGCTTCAAGGGCAGTCAGGCACGTCAGCGACGCAGGAAGGGCTGTGAGGTTGCAGATCGAGACGTGCAGCTCCTGCAGGTTGCTGAGCGATCCCACGCCCTCTGGCAGCAATTCCACGCTGCTCTCGTTCAGCTCAAGCCTCGTCAGCGACGCGATTTCTGATAACGAGCACGGGAGATGCGGACCTTCGAAGATGTCTCTGAGAAGCAGCGCGTGGAGGTTACTCAGGCGTCCTATGTCTGCTGGAAGCGCCACTTGCTGGAGGCAGAGCGTTGTGAGAGCTGTGAGGCAGGCGAACCCTGCTGGCAGCTCGTAGATTGAGTCGCACGAGAGCAGGAAGAAGGTCTCCAGGGAGCTGAGCTGGCACACGGAGTCAGGCAGGCTCGCCAGCGGCAGCAGTTCCAGAACCAGGGTTTTCAGGGCACTCAATCTCCCCATGTTTTCAGGCAGGCAGCTGAAGTTGTCGCAATTGATGACTGACAAGGTCTCGAGGTGCTTCAGGGAACAGACACCCTCCGGCAGCTCCTCCAAGGCCTCGCACCTGGAAACGGTCAGCTCACGCACACGCGGCAGCAACTCCGCAATGTCGTCCGGAAGCCGCTTCAATTCGCTGCATTCTGATAACTGCAGCCGTTCAAGACTGGTCAATGGCCAATCCGACAGCGACACGTGGCGAGTGTCCAACGATTTGATCAACGGTAGCTGTGCGATGGCGAAGGCAGCTGAGCCCGAGTCACCACTGGCAGGAGAAAAAGCGGTCCCGACAGAGAGTGAAAGGCTGGTGGTGCTGGGAAGACGACGTACGTTGGCCAGTTGCTCCTCGGTCAACTCCGGGGAGGCGATATGAAGAGTGGTGAGCGAGGCGAGGCTCTCCAGATCTGGAGCTTCCAAGGCGGGGGCGGCTGTTAAAGCCAGGGTGTGAAGACGCGTGAGGTGGAAGAAGGAAGCGGGTAGGTGGACGTCCGGATGGAGGCAGAGCAGTGAAAGCTGCTCGAGCTGAGTGCATCGTTGGAAGAAGCGATCCAGACCATCCTCGGTGATCGGGTGCTTATGCTTCGGTCCGACATAGTCCGGATGATGAGTGATTCCGCGTCCCACGTGAAGAATCTTGAGCTGAGGACAGGATGATGCGAGGTGAGCGAGGAAGGTGTCGTCTAGGGTTTCCACGCTGTCGCCGCACAGATGGAGATGGGTGAGGTTCGGGAAGCACGCGACTGCATTCGAGAGTTCTTGGAGGGAAATGGCATGCTTTCGTTCGACGAGGAGGGTGGAGACGGCACGCTGAGCTACATCGCGCCAACGGTGGCACACCGACGACACGAGGAAGATTCTGGCAACGGATGGAACGGCGGAGGGGGACGATATTGGATTCGACTCTTCCTCAGCATTGGAATCTTCGTATAAAACGATCGAGCGAAGGTACTGTGGCTTCTTCCACAATGAATGCCGAGACCATAACGCGTCACTGTCGGATTCCCACGGTGATGAGTCCTCACAATGCCATAGTATCCTAGTGAGGACGTCGTCGGGAAGGTGTCGCTGACTCCATCATTTCCCTAACAGACGAGATTGCTAAGGATCTATAAAGGGATGGAATGCAGCGACCTTGAAGCCTAGACAGAGTTTGAACGAGACCTGAAAATGAGAGAGGATCTGACTTGTGGGAGCTCATCACGCTGCCTTGCTCGTCCGCAACCCAAGCCCCACGCAAGAGCGGATAATCTGCTGGGTGTAGGGGGTGGTTACCCGGTTCCCGAACCAGAGTATTTTTGCTGCGTTCCTTTTCGTTTCGTGTATTCGCTGCCAGATTTCCGCTGCATTGGTCTCGCCCGGATGCGTTGTGGAACGAAACCTTGCGTGGTCCACCAACCCTGTCTCGTGATACGGTTTTGTTCGGCGATGAACCCAGAGCCTTGTCGCCAAAGCACAATTAGTCCCGGAAAAACCGCGTTCGACAGGTTCGAACTCACGAACCAATTGTGGGTCAAGCTAGTTCGCTTACAATTCACGTAAAACAGTTTTCAGATCGGTGACAAACGATTCAGAGCGATGAAGCAGACAAACCATACCAGAGCGAACATCACACTAAACTGAATGCGAACAAACGTGACGCGCCCTTACACAATGAACGGAGACAAGTCCTCAAAGCCTGACCTCTGCTTCCGCCGTGAATTCCCAAGGCTCTGGCGCGGAACCCGCTAGCCAAGCCTCAACGCTCCCGCTGTCCGCTTAGCCGCAGCGCGTCGCGTCGGGATTGATTAGCCCAGGTCGCTTCAGTGAATTCGTCTTCAGCCGGTGGCGCGCAATCGCCATGTCATTTTCCCAAGTCAGGCCTAACCTGAGTCAGATTCGCAAGAAATTATGACGTGGAACCGCAAAGCCCAGGTGTGACTATCTTACCCTCATGCTTCGGAGGCTAAGAACTCTCCACGGGAGCATTTTCGAGCCACGGATTCAAAATTTGTGGGCCCGACTGAACCACCTGGAGAGTTCTCACTTGCCACGTCAACTACTGTAGAGCATTGCGAGAACTTCGGAAAGTACATTTGTTCGCTTCGGATGCCATTGGATCTGCGTAATTGACAACTCCGTGGCAAACGGACAGCACCATACCCTAGCAACGGTACCATACCTGAAACTCCCGTAGCCAGAACTCCCACTTCTGGCTACCCCCCGTCATCTGGAGCGGCTCGACAGTAAACGAACCGCTCATCAGCATCTTGTCAGAACCGATGCCGCTCTCGTAGTGTCACGCAGTAGAAAACCCCGTCTGACACCCATTTCATTTCAGTTGAATCACATCGTTCTGTACTCACAGCTCGTTGCTACCCCCTTCCTCAAGCCTCGAGGTTCTCTTTGCACCTGACTGCTGATGGCCGTGAAAACCCTCGCTGCGTGCAGCAAGGCTGACCCCGACGACCTCTTCTACTGGGAAGAGGACCACGGGTTCGTTCCTGCTGCCTCCTCTTCCGCCTCTCCCAGCTGGAGCGATGCAGCACGCAAGCGATCCACGCCTGCTGCTGCTGCTGCTCCAAGTGCGAAAAAGGCACGAATCTCTGAGGATTCGGAGGACGAATTCTCGTATATGAGCGAGTTGGACTTGCTGGAATTTCGTCAACGGTATCTTAACCCTGAAAGCATCAGCAGCAATGAGGGTAACGTGTCCTTCCTGTCAAAGGACGAGTTTCTCGCTACCACAGGCAAGAAATCGCCTTGGATTATGGTTGAAAAAGCTGCTGCCAGTAAGAATGATGTTAACAAGAGCAGCAGGAGCGTGATGGTTTGCACCTTCAGCTCCAGCAGTGCAAACAGCACGAGCTGCGCATCTGTGCGAACTCCTGCTGTAAAAACCAGCACAAAAGATTCAGTGAAAAAAAGCTCCAACAAATGCCAGACCTCAGAAAAAAAGATTGGTCTCTCCAACCTCAGAAAGGCTTCAGCTGCTGTTGTCCCTGTTGACGCTACTACTGCTGCAGCTGCTGCTAAGAACTCTGACAAAATTTCAAGGCAAATGCCAGGTTCTGATAATGATGATGCAGCAAAGGTAAGAATGGAAGGGACAACAGCAAATAAGGCACCAAATGGGAAGGCTAGAGTGACGAGGCGGATGAGGAGGTGGGTGAGTAGTGCTTGGTCAAGCATAGCCTTGAATAAGTAACACAATGGCAAGTAGGGTAAAGCTGGTGGGGGTGATGTGGAATGCTGGTGGTAGGGGTTCACCCCCTTTTTTCCATCCTGCCTGGCAGGATGTTGTGGGAATGATGGGAATGACTGGTGGATGGAGAGAAGGGACTGGTAGGAGGGGTGCCACTGTAGACTTAGTAACCCTGTATATTCTGGAAATCTCAATATATGCATCTTCTTTTTATGCTCTGGTCTGGATGGGGGTGAATGGAGTGCATGGAATGAAGGAATGAGTGTGAAAACAGAGAGTCTTGAGTTAGGCTGCCCATGTTTCATGTTCTGATAGGACTTATGCTATCTGATGAATTTGAACCAAAAATGGTGAACTCGTACAAAAACCAATCTCAGAATTGAATTTCGATGGTCAGGAAATGGAGCAATATTCTAGAACAATTCAATGTCAGGCCACAGTGACAAAGAATGAACATAAATGGTCAGGTTGAACACAGTCGCAGAATTGTTAATGAAAAGGCTCTGAAAACTATGAAGCAATGAGATGCGATATTCCCTTGTCATTGGAATGAGTGAAGTATCAACTAGGCCAATGTCAGAGCTTGACCAAAATGATTGGGATGGCAACAGAGTTGAGAATGAAAGCAGGAGCGGCCATGAGATTGTGATGGAGTCAATAGATACACCATGTTCCCATACCATGTTCCCATACCATGCTCCCATACCATGTTCCCATACCATGTTCCCATACCATGTTCCCATACCATGTTCACATACCATGTTCCCATACCATGTTCCCATACCATGTTCCCATACCATGTTCCCATACCATGTGCCCATACCATGTTCCCATACCATGTTCCCATACCATGTTCCCATACCATGTTCCTATGCATGCCATGTTCCCATGCCATGTTCCCATGCCATGTTCCCATGCCATGTTCCCATGCCATGTTCCCATGCCATGTTCCCATCTCATGTTCCCATCTCATGTTCCCATGCCATGTTCCCATGCCATGTTCCCATGCCATGTTCCCATGCCATGTTCCCATCTCATGTTCCCATCTCATGTTCCCATGCCATGTTCCCATGCCATGTTCCCATCTCATGTTCCCATGCCATGTTCCCATGCCATGTTCCCGTGCCATGTTCCCGTGCCATGTTCCCGTGCCATGTTCCAGTGCCATGTTCCCGTGCCATGTTCCCATGCCATGTACCCGTGCCATGTTCCCGTGCCATGTTCCCGTGCCATGTTCCCGTGCCATGTTCCCGTGCCATGTTCCCTTCCCATGTTCCCGTGCCATGTTCCCGTGCCATGTTCCCGTGCCATGTTCCCGTGCCATGTTCCCGTGCCATGTTCCCTTCCCATGTTCCCGTGCCATGTTCCCGTGCCATGTTCCTGTGCCATGTTCCCATGCCATGTTCCCTTCCCATGTTCCCGTGCCATGTTCCCGTGCCATGTTCCCGTGCCATGTTCCCGTGCCATGTTCCCGTGCCATGTTCCCATGCCATGTTCCCATGCCATGTTCCCATGCCATGTTCCCATGCCATGTTCCCATGCCATGTTCCCATGCCATGTTCCCATGCCATGTTCCCATGCCATGTTCCCATGCCATGTTCCCATGCCATGTTCCCATGCCATGTTCCCGTGCCATGTTCCATGCCATGTTCCCACCCACTATCGTCAGGGTGGGGCTAAAAGGAAACGAGAAGGGATTAAGCAGAAAGGAGGGGGGTGGCGTTGTGAGGCTGAAAGATGTGGCCATATCTCCAATCCAATTCTGTTTGCCGTTTTCCCTGCCATTTTTTACATCATTTTCCCATCCCGGTGCTTGTTTTTCCAGTCAGCTTTCCATTTCCAGTTCTCTTGTTAACTCCCCCCATTATCCATTATCCAGCCAGCTTGATGGCTGTGCTCATGCAGTCTGGGATGAGGTGATGGGAGTGTGAGATGGCATGAGGTGATGATGGGAGTGTGAGATGGGATGAGGTGATGGGAGCGTGAGATGGCATGAGGTGATGGGAGTGTGAGATGGGATGAGGTGATGGGAGCGTGAGATGGGATAAGGGGATGGGAGTGTGAGATGGCATGAGGGGATGGGAGTGTGAGATGGGATGAGGGGCTGGGAGTGTGAAATGGTATGAGGTGATGGGAGTGTGAGATGGCATGAGGTGATAGGAGTGTGAGATGGGATGAGGTGATGGGAGTGTGAGATGGGATTGTTAGAGACTAAGGACGGAGTCTATGAAGATTAGGAGCCAAAATATCTCAACATCGTTGGGCCTAGTTTCTGAACAGAAAAGTCGAGTTCACAAGAAACGCCGTCGACGAAAATTGCACTGTCAAAACTTCACTAAACTCATATATGTTGTAGCCCTACTCCGTGGCTACAGTTCCCAAGTTGAAACGTATCAAGAGGTGAAGTAAATCTCGACTTATCAATTTCGGCGCACAGGGGGGTATGCTGCCATAAGAACTTAACTCAATCACAAAGTTCACACAAGTTCACACAAGAGAATTGGAGTAGCACTAAACCAGGTGGAAGGGATGAGGAGGACGAGAGGGAAGGTCCCAAGGAGTCCCCAACCAAAGGAAACTCCATGCCACACAATTCCCTTCCCCATAGGCAACCCAACTTTGACCTTTGTCACTATCCCAACCTCCACAATCCACCTCAACCCAACTTGGCCACACTTGCCAACCTGGTTTGGTTTCTCCCAACCATTTGGCAGCAACTACAGTAGAAAAGACGAATTTCCCAACCCCCAAAAGTCTGTACCCCATATTGAGTCAACCCCACAACTTCCCATAGTCACCACAACCAAATATCAAAAGCATACGAACTCCAACGTTCGTAACTTTCTTGTTCGTGCTCCGATTGAAGCGATACTTGGTTCCTCGGAAAGCTCTTGAGCAGAGGAGTCACTTCAGATATCTGCTCAAGCCAAATAACATTCACACACACACTCAGAAAAACCAAACCGCACAAAACACAAATTCTTGCACACACTCACAACACGCATGCAACGCACGAACATATGATGGGAGGCAGACAGACGTGAATGCGAATGGTAGCATCACTCAACAAACTCCCCCTCTGGCTGCCAACCATCATCCCACATGCCATAGCTCAAGCATGCATCCTCAATGCACACTCATCCCAGCAAGCTTCATGCCCTTCCAATGCTCAGATTCAGCCAGGCGCTTGGTGAGAATGTCAGCCGCCTGCTGATGGGTCTTCACAATCTCCAGCCGCACCTCCTTGTCCAGGAGCCTTCTCACCCAATTCCACTTAGGCCTGATGTGTTTGGTCAGCCCATGAAGACAAGCATTCTTCGCTAGCTTCACCGCCGACTCATTATCACAGAAAATCACAGTCGGCTCCCTCTGACCAACTCCAATCTCCTCCAACAAACGCCTCAGCCACACCACCTCCTTTGCCCCATGATGCAGGGCCATGTACTCTGTCTCACACGAGGACTGCCCCACCTCATTCTGCTTCTTACTGCGCCAGCTCACTGCACCACCTCCGAACAGGCACACATAGCCTCCAATGCTGGTGCCATCCGCTTTCACCGAGTTGAAGCTAGCGTCAGTGTAGCAGGTCAGGAGCGTCTCCCCCTTGCTCAAATCAGCTGCACTCCTCTGCAGCCTCTGCCTCACAGCACTGTACTCCAAACCCACTGATGCCGTTGCACTCACATAGCGGACCAACCTCTTGGCCGCTTCCAGTTGCTCATGACTGGGGCGTGAAACCACACTGGCAAGCCTGGATGTTGCAAAGGCAATGTCAGGCCGTGTGTGGTTAGCCGCATAGTTGAGTGCCCCAACCATGGAATGAAAAAGTTTCCTGTCACTCTCACCCACCACCTCCTCATCAGCACAGGGCTCCACAGTGAACCCCGAAGGCAGTGGGGTGGCTGGCTTTCCTCCATCTTGCAGCCCATACTTCTCAGCCAGCCCCTCACAATACTTTCTCTGGTGCAACCTCAACACTCCCTTGTCAAGGTCCCTCTCCACATGCATCCCTAAATAGTACTTCACATCTCCCATCTTGGAGCACTTAAACTGCATCTCCAGCATCTCCTCCACATGCTCAATCATTGCAGACGACTCAGAGAAGAGCAGGATGTCATCCACATACACCAGGAGCATGAGAAACTGCTCCTTCTCCTGCAGCAGGAACAAGCTGTGATCACACTCACTCTTCTTGAAACCCCCAGCCAGCAGAGTCTCCTCTAACTTGTGGTACCATGCACGAGGAGCCTGCTTCAGGCCATAGATGGCCTTCTTCAGCCTGCACACCCTGCCGCTCCCATCATCCAAACCCTCAGGCTGTAACATGTACAGCTCCTCCAGAATGATCCCATTGAGGAAGGCGGTGGTGATGTCCATCTGCTTCACCCGCCATCCACGGTTTGCTGCCATTGCCAATGACACCCGAAGTGTTGTGCCTTTCCCCACAGGAGCATAGAGCTCGTTGAAGTCCTTTCCCTTTGTCTGCTGAAACCCCTTAGCCACAAGCCTTGACTTGTAGCGGGTCAGCGCCCCATCAGGTCCGTACTTGTGCCTGAAAATCAGCTTGGAAGAAATGGCCTTCTTCCCAGGTGGCAGCTCACACAGCTCCCACGTCTCATTCTCTAGCAGAGAATCATACTCCTCCTTCACACTCTGCTTCCACTTTTCAGCATCGGGCCCGCTCAATGCCTCAGCTAGCGTCTTGGGCTCAGGGACGGCTGCCCAGTAGCAGTGTGCTATCTCATCCTCATCACACTGCTCAGCCACACTCCCAGCCCTTACCACCTTTGGCTTGCCACGGCTTGCATAGGTCAGCCTGTTAGGAGGGCGCACATCCCTCCTAGGACGGTCAGCCGTACGTCCGGCACCTTGTGGAGCACCTTGCTCCTCCTCCTCCTGCTGCTGCCGCTGCTGCTGCTGCTGCTTCCACTCCTTGTAGAACAAGGACTCAAGGAACTTAACATCCCTTGACACAGTCAGTTGCTGGCTCGTCAAGTCCCATATCAACCAGCCCTTGTGGTCCTTGGCAAGCCCCAAGTGCACACCCCATCTCCCAGAAGCTTCCAACTTTCCCCTCTTCTCCTTCGGTACATGAAACACCACCATGCAGCCATAAGTTCTCAGCATGTTGACTGCAGGCGCACTCCCATACCACTTGGTGTAGGGGACCCATTGCTTGTCCCCCACAGTCGCCAGCACCCGGTTCTTCACAACAACGACCTGCCGCAGTGATGTCACCCAAAACGGATCCGGCAGCCCTGCACGCCCAAGGATAGTGCGAGCACCTTCCTGCAGGGTCCGGTTGAACCGCTCAGCCACGCCATTCTGCTGAGGGTTGTAAGGCACTGTGAGCTGATGCTGGATCCCCTTCCGCTTCAGCTCCTTCTCAAAATCAGCGCCGATGAACTCTCCTCCGTTGTCAGTGCGGATCACCTTCACCTTGTGTCCGCTTTCCCTTTGTGCTCTCGGCATCCACTCCTTAAGAACAGCCGCTGCCACCTCCCCCTTAGTCTTGAGAGGGTACACCCACACCGCACGCGTGTGGTCGTCCACAATCGTCAAGAAGTAGCGGCTGCCCGAGAGATAAAGGGCCCTCGTGGGGCCCACCACATCCATGTGCACTAGTGCAAGTGGTGCCTTGGCTGGTCCTGTGCTGCTGCTGAAGGGAAACTTCGTGAATTTGGTCTCAAGGCAGGTAGGGCAGCTCCCAATCTCCTTTGCTCCCCCCTTCACCTCCAGCCCCTTCAAGCACCCATCCTTTACCAACTTCTGCAGCATAGGAATGTTCACATGGCAGAGCCTCTCGTGCCACGTCTCCCAATCAGCCTCACCACTCCCAGATGAAGCCTTTCCCCATGCAGCTGTCGCATCCACACCAGCAAGCACCTCACCATGTGGCTGCTGTGGCTGCTGCACCTTCTTGACTGCATCCAGGGCCCCAGCAGTTGGTGCAGTCTCCTCTCCTCCCGCAGTTGCTTTAGCCGCTGCCGCTGCCTTTGCCGTTGCTGGTGGTTTCCCCTTCCAAGGGATGATGGGCAGCTGCCACAGGTCCTTGATGCAGCTGCTCTTCTCCTCCAAGTTCCACAGCAGCAACTTCCCAAGCTTTGCACGGCAGCTGGTTGGGCCGAAGGTAACTTCAGCCTTGCTCTTCTGCAGCCGGCGCACAGAAAGAAGGTTAGCGGACAAACCTTCAACCAACAGCACATTCCCAAGCCCCACAAGCTCTCCATTGGCTCCCATCACCTTAGCATTCCCAACACCAATCACAGGGAGCAAAGCACCTGAAGCGGCAGCCACAAACTTGATCTTCCCAGGAGGTTTTACCTCATCAAGCAAATCTGCCCGTGGGGTCATATGACTCGTGCAACCTGAATCGATCACCCAGTGAGTGAGGGGGTGCATCACAACCTTCCCAACTGAACCCATATCACCCCCACTCCCTTGCACATCCTCAACCATGAGGAACATCCCAGGGTCGGCTTTACCTTGTGCACCATCACCTTGTGCACCTGATCCTTGCACAGCGCCACCGCGTGCACGTTCACCACTTGGCGGCTTCATGCCTGGAGGGGCCCATCCCTCAGGCCGGCTGAAACACTTGAACCACGGGTGTCCAGCCTTCTTGCAGTACCAGCACGCACCCTCCATTCGGGTGCTCCCCCTGCCACCAGAGCTCCCAT